CCTCCTCCCGGTGCCCAATTTGCCGCCCCGGCCCCCGCTCTTTAAGGCTGCGGGACCGGGAGTGGTGGTGGGCGGGGGGGGGCGCGGAGCTGCTCCCGGTACCGGGGGTTGGCAGGGGAGTGGGGGATAAGCGGAGAGGCTCCCGGTAACGGGAGACCGAGCCTTCCCCGCCGCCGTTACCGGGCCCCTGCCGAAGGGGCGGGCTGCGGCCGCTGCGGGACGGCGGCGGCGGGATGAGGCGGGCGCGGTGCTGAGTCGGGAGAGGGGACGCGCCATGACCTCGGCGCGGGAGGCAGCCGGTTCCCCCCCCGGTTGCCGGCGGAGCGCCCTGGACCAGCTCCCGCCGCCCGCCAGCTCCAACAAGCCGCTGACCCCCTTCGGCATCGAGGACATCCTGGGGCGACCCCGCGGCGGGAGCCCCCCCGGTACCGGCTCCGGCCCCGGGACCGCCGCTACCCCCGCCCGGCTCCCGGAGAAGGCTGCGGGGCCCCGCGGCGGCGGCATCGCCCCGTCCTCGCCGCTCTGCGCGCTGGAGGAGCTCGCCAGCAAAACCTTCCAGGGGCTGGAGCTGGGCCTGCTGCAGGCGGCGGAAGGTACCGGGACCGGGGGAGATCGGGGCTGGGGGGGGGGACGGGACGGGACGACGACAGGAACGGACGCGGGGATCGGGCAGGTGCCGGGGAACCGGGGTCCTCCTCGCCCCGAGCCAGGGAAGTTTTGTCCGCAGAGAGACCCCAGGACGGGGCCGGTGTTCGCCCTCAGCCCGCCCGGGGCACCTCGCGGCCGAGGGCCCGGTTCGGGAGCGCAGAGTCGCGGATGGCCCGACAGGACCCGGCCCGGCAGCTTTACCGGGGGCCGCGGGCACTGGCCCGGCTCCGGGGGCGGCAATGGGAGGCGGATCGGTCCTGCGGCGGCGGTCGGGCTTCACCGGGGAAAGCGGCGGCCTCCGGCCCCGCCGAGCCGTGACCGTGACCGTGACCGAGCGCAGGAGCAGAGCTGCGGATCAGGCCCGTTGTCAGCGAAAGCCCCGTTATCGGCGCCGGCGATGACTTCTCGGTGGGCTCCGGGGCCTCTCCGACCGCAGAAACCCGTTACCAAGGGAGCAGGCGGCCGCTCCCCGCTCACGGACGTTGACCGCGGGCGGCTTGGCACCGTCGGCGCCTCCTTTGGGACACTGGGTACGGCAAGAGCCGGAGGGAACGAATCGGCCCCACCGGGCGAGCGGCCCACGGATCCTGCTGCAAACCCTCCCTCGAGGGGACAAACGGACACGGGGAGGAGGAGCGCAGCCCCAGCGATAACGAAAACCCCCTCACCGGGAGGGGCAGACGGACACGGGCAGACCGAGATTAACGAAAACTCGCTAAGAAGAACGGACACACGGACAGGCCCAGCGGGGCTCCCGCCGTTAACGAAAACACACCCGCCCCGGGCCGGACGGACAGGGCCAGATGGACCCGGCTCTCGTTATTAACGAAAGTGACGTTCCGCGGCCGGACCGACGGAGACGGACAGAGCCGCGCTCCGGGAGTGAACGAAAATGAAGTTCCCCTCCGCTGCCGGGCTGCGAGAGTTACCGATACGGGCAGAGCGGGGGTCCGGGATTAACGAAAGCCAAAGCAACGTTAACCGGCCGGACAGGCGGACACGGGTCAGCGGCCGGTAATGAACGCAATAAGCGGCGTAGCACGGACGGAAACCGGAGAGAAATGAGACAGCGGAATAAGGTAAAAAACTCGTTACGGAACGAACGCGCGGACACGGCCGGGCAGCGGGGCCGCGGCAGTGAACGAAAAGAGCCGTTATCGGACGGACAGAAGGACACGGCCGCGGGGAACGAAATAAAACCCGTTACCGGCCTGACAGACGAAGAGAAACGGGCAGCGCCGGGCTCCTTGAGCGGAGGTAAATTCCCGTTACCGCCCGGACAGAGGGACACGGCGGGGCCGAGCGCGGCCTCGAAGGGAGCCTTCCCGGCCGCCGCTAACGGCGCGGTAGTGAACCGGGACCATTGGACGAAGAGACAGAAAGCTCGAGGTTCCCGTCATTCCGGTGCTCCCGTTACCCGCGGGCAGAGCGGGGCTGCGGGATGAACGGGAAAAACGTCCAATATCTTCTCGCAGCGATGGACAAAACCGGGAGCGATCAGAGCTCACACAAAACCCCATCACCCCGGCGGACCCACGGACACCGCCGAGACACCACGGGCCTCCGGTAACGGCCGGGACCCACCGACAGGTCACGGGCAGAGCGGCCACGGGGCCCCGCCGCGGCGGAGGGAGCTGAAGCCGGTATGGGGAAAGCAGAGACTGGCCCGCGCCTCGGGAGCCACGTTACCGGGCGGCTGATCGTCCCGCCGGCACTAGGGAGGCTATAACGGCCCGGCACCGGCACGGCGACAGGCACCGGGACCCTGCCGCCGGTGTGGAACCGGTACAGATGCCGCGGATGGACACCGGATCCGCGTCTCATCGGAGATTTCTCCTCTGCTCCACCGGCAGTGGAGCTCCCGGGTCGGGGCCTCGGGGCTGCTGCTCGGCATTGCCGAGAGCGGCGGCCGAAAACCACCGGCCCCGGGGCTTCTGCAAACCGCCGAACGGGCGGATCCGTGCTGACGACTCCGCTCCCGGTCTCGGCTCTTCCCGGTTGCCGGTTCCGGCCCCGCAGCCCGGGCTCTCTGACCGATCCGGTGCCGGGGTCGGGGCGAGCCGCGGCGGGGAGGAACCGGGCTGGAGCCCCGGGAGCTCCGGCCGGACACGGAGCGGCGGCGGCTGCGGCAGGACCGGGGTCTGTGGGACGGGATGAACGGTTCTCGGCTCCCGGCAGCGGGCCCGGTATCGGTTTGTTTTGAACGGCGGAGCAGACGCCGGTTTTACCGGGTTCGACGCTTCACAGCCGAGACAAGATCGGCGCTGAGACTACCGTACCGTGCCGCACCGTACCGTGCTGGTGCGGTCCCGGAGCCGATGCCATTGCATACGCCGGTACCGTTACCGGTACCGTACCGTGCTGTGCCTGTTCCGCACCAGTGCCCGTGCGGGTGCTTGTGCCGGTACGGTTGCCGGTGGCGGGCCGTGCCGTGCCGTACCGTGCCGGTGCCACGCTATGCCGTGCCGCATGGAGTCGGTACTGTGCCGTTCCCGGGCTGGTCCTGCGTCCCCGCTGCCGTGCCGTTCCCGCTGCCCTACCCGTTCCCGTTCTATTCCGCGCCCGCTGAACCCGAAGCTCGGGAGCCGTTCCCGTTCCCCTTCCCGTTCCGTACCGTGCCGCTGTCCCCGCAGGTCGGGAGCCTTTGGCCGTTCCGGGGTCTCGTCCTCCCTGCAAGAAACGTCGCAAGTCGCGGACGGCGTTCACGGCGCAGCAGCTGCGGGAGCTGGAGCAGCGGTTCCTGCGGCAGAAGTACCTGTCCCCGGTGGACCGGGACCGGCTGGCGGCGCGGCTGGCGCTCAGCACGGCCCAGGTCATCACCTGGTTCCAGAACCGCCGCGCCAAGCTCAAGCGGGACCTGGAGGAGCTGCGGGCGGACGTGGCCTCGCTGCAGGCGCTGCCCCCCGCGGCCCTCCGGCACCTCGCCGCCATCCCGGACCCGCCGCTGCCCCCCGCCGCCCCGGGCACCGGCCCCACTCCACCGCCCGCGGAGCTCTCGGAGGAGGAGATCGACGTGGGGGACTGAAGCGGCACCGGGGGGGGGCACACGCACACACCGGGGGGGTCCCGGGCCGGCACCGAGACTGAGCGAGCCCCCGGTCCCGGCGGGACTTGGTGCAATTTTGGGTCCGTTTTTCATTTGCTTCCATTTAATTCTCTTTTTAATTTGATTTTCTGAGGTCTCCGTCCCGGGGGCACCGGCGGGAGGGGGGTTCGGGGGTGGCGGGAAGGACACGGCCCCGGTATAAACAATCGGAATAAAGGCCACACGTTATTAAGGAGCGCGGAGGGGCTCGGGCGGACACCGGGGGATGCCCGTAACCGGGGTGAGGGGACACACACACACCGGGCACCGGCGTCCCCCCCCGGCTCGGTTGCGCCCATCCCCGTGGCCCCGCTACCGCCAGTACCGGGGACCCCTCGGGTTGGGGCGGGGCACCGGGACACTATTTCCTCGTCCATGCCGCCCCGGTGACGTCACCGAGCGGAGCGGTGACGTCACTCTGCGCGGGAGCAGCCCGGAGGCCGCGGGGACGGGCGAGGGGGAAGGCACCCGAGGTACGGGGGGGCAGACACGCGTCTCGCTTCAGCCCGCAGCCCCCCCAGGAGCCCCGTGGGTGGATGGCGGCAGCGACCCCCCAGTCCCTCCTAAACACCCCCGATCCCCCCCCCCTTTTTGCCATTGTCGAACCGCAGCCGCCCGCGGGGGGAGGCGAGAAATGAGATTCTGCCTCTAGAAACGCCTGGGAACGTCCCGGGGGAGCGCGTTTGATGTGACAGGAGCGGGACGGGGCTGACAGGGACGGGGGGAGGGTGGGGGAGAGATCGCCGTGGGTCCCATCCTACCCCCCTCCCTTTCCCATGTCATCCCCTGCCTGCATCACCCCACAACACGTCCCTGTCCCCGCTTAAACCTGCCCAAGTACCTTCCCCCCCCCCCCCAGCACTGAGACACCGAGTCCCCCCCATACACCCTCCCCGTGGCCTCTAGGCTGTTACCCCACAGCACCCACAATAGCTCCATGTGCCCCTCCCAACCGCCACCCTCCCCACAGGTCCCCATTGACCTCCAGCACTGGCCGTGGACCCCATGATCCCTGGAGGGGTTGGTGCCCATCACCGGGGCCTCGGGGTGGCTCCTGATGCCGCGGCCCCCCCCGCCCCGTTCCCCCCCCCCCCCGCTTCCCTCCGCTCCCAATTTTCCGGCTGACGGCGCGGCCGCCTCCCGCCGCGGCTCTTCAGTGCTTCTAACGAGTGATTAATTGCGGCCCCTCCGCGCCTCATTTGCATAGTAATTAAATCCCCTCCCCCCCCCCCCCCCCCCTCGGGCCCCGGTACCGGGACGGACGCGACGCTGGGGCTCGGGTTTATTAAAACCCCCAAAGGGGGCAAGTCCCTGAGGGGGGGGCGGGGGGGACCGGCCCCCACTCCCGCTGCACCCGGTACCGGGAGGTGGCGGGGGGGGGCCGGTCCTGCTGCCCGCGGGGGGAGAAGGCACAGGCTGGGTGCGGGCAGGAGGCACCGGGAGCTGGGGGGGGGGGGGGGGCCCGGTTACAGGGGCTCCCCCAGGCAGGGCTGTGGGTACCAGCGCGGGCGGGGGGTGGCGTGAGATGGGTGCTTGAGCTGCAGGGCCAGGAGGGTGCCTTCCACCGGGGAGTCCTGGGGGGGAATGAGAAGGGGGGAGGATAAAAAAGGGGAGATTAAGGGGGGATAGGAATGGGGAGAACAAAGGAGGTGCAGGAAAAGGAGAGGGATGAAAAGGGGGGTGTAAAGAGAAAGGGGGGGAAGTGTCACACCACCCCCAGGGCAGGGCCAAGCCCCTGCCCAGCCCCACAACAGCCTCGGGGGGGGTCGCGGCCCCCCCCCGCTCACCCTCATGGCCTCAAAGGCTGCTTCGGCCGCCTCCTTGCAGGTGTAGTTGAGGAAGGCGCAGCGGCGCTCAGGCAGCATCCGGATGGACTGAATCTCCCCGAACCTGGAGGGCAGCGTTAGGGACCCCCAGCTCCGCAGGGAAGCATCGGGGACCCCCAGTCTGGGGGTGCACAAGGGGTCAGGGCGGGGGGGGGGAGAAGAGGTCTGGGGGGACGCAGGGAGAGGGATGGGGGTCTGGGGGTGCACATGGGGAACACAGGAGGTGTGGGGGGGGCACAGGGGCCCCATGCTCACTGTCCGAAGCAGTGCTGCAACACGCTCCTGCTGATGCGGGGGGTGACGTTGCCCACCCAGAGCGGGAAGCAGCCCCTGCTGAGGCACTGCTGGTCACTGGGGGGGCTTTGGGGCTCAGTTCCAGGCCCCAGGGCTGTGGGTCCCCCATTCTCTGCTGTACCTGGGGGGCTGGCACTGGGCCTGGATCCTGGAGCTCCCGATGGTGATGAAACCACTCATGCCCATGGCCTTGTGGTGGCTGCTCCCTGTGACACCATGGGTCAAACCCAGCCCCAATGGCCCACTGAGACCCCCCAGACCTGAGACCACGGCCCTTTGCCACTTCCCCCCCCTCGAACCAAACCGGGGTCTCTTACCGGACCGGAGGGGCAGCGCCGGCTCCGCAGCCTCCAGCGGGGACAGGGGGGACATGGGGGAGGGAGGAGATGTGGGAACCCCCCCAAGGCTGCTCTGCTGCCAGAGGAGAGGAGGTCAGACCACGGGGTGTGAGCCAGGGGTGCTTCAGCTGGGGGCCCGGGGGAGACTGTGGGCTGAAGGGTGCTGGGGGTGGGTTTGGGGGGGTGGGATACAGGGATGGGTTGGGGGATGGGTTGTAGGGTACCATGGGGGTCCAAGGATGGGGTGGTGGGGTTAGGGTGGGAGCGAGCTGCAGATGGGGTGGGTGGTACTGGGAGTGCATTGGGGGTGCTGGGAATGGGGGTGAGTAGGGGGTGCCAAGGGTGGGTTGAGGAGCACAAGACCTGGGGGGGATGCTAGGGGTCGGGGCTTTGTTGGGGGGTGCTGGGTGCAGTGCTCACCTGCAGCAGGGCCCGGCAGGCCTCCAGCTGCGCAGCTGCATCAGTGTCAGTGCCAGTGCCGGTGCCGGTGCGGTGCAGCCGCAGCAGCTCCTCAAAGGTCTGGGCAGCCTCAGCGTAGCGCTGGGACACGGAGAGGTGCTGAGCCTGAGCCACCACTACCTGCACCGGCCCCTGCCCCATGGCTGCCCCACACGGCGTTCGGCCAGGTCCTACTGGCACCCCCTGGCTCCCCACTGATACCCCCAAACCCATCCCCGTGGCACCCTGCAGCATCCCAATCCAGCCCCACTGCTACCCTTCAGCCCCCATTCAGCCCCACTGGACACCGCAGCCCCTCCTGGTTACCTGCAGCCCCCGCAGGGCCTTGCCCTTGCGGAAGAGGCCCTTGGCCCAGCGCGGCTGCAGCCCCAGCGCCCGCTCCGCGTCCCCCAGCGCCTCCTCGTAGCGCTGCAGCTTCTCATAGCAGTAGGAGCGGTTCCCGAGGAGCCTGCGGGGACAGGGCCCGGGTCACGGCTGCCCGGCCCTGGGACCCTGCTCCCGGTCCCGGTACTGACCGGTGCTCGCGGGGGTTCAGCTGCAGCGCCGCCGTGAACGCCCGCACCGCCTCGGGGTAACGGCCTCGCAGCGCCGCCGCGTTGCCCTGGCCTGTGGGGACAAGAGCGGCCGCTGCCGAGCCCCCCGGGGGCCACACTGGGGAGGGGAACACCGCGGCTGCACCGTCCCCAGGCACGGCAGGAGGAGCCCCCGGGCACAGCCCAGCACTGACCTGCGAGCACCAGGCTCTGCTGCATGGCGCTGGTGTCCAGGGGCGCGGGGGCCTGTGGGGGAGGCAGCGCTGGGTGCCCATGGCACAGGCAGCGCCCCCCTGCCCAGGCCCCCCCCCGGGTCCCAACTCACCTTCCCCGGTGCGATCCTGCCCCGCTCAGGGTCCGTCCTGGGCGGCTTCTCCCTGCCGGGCGCCGGGAGCCGCACACCCGCTTTCTGCCGCGCTTTGAACACGAACGTGCAGCTCAGGTCCAGCTCCTCCTGCGGGCAGGGGCGGGGAGGGCAGAGCCCCAGATCCAGCTATGGGGCAGAACCCAGGGCCATCACGGGGAGCCCCACAGGAGCCCTCACCTCCATCTCCTCTGGTCGGGCCTCCCCGTCTCCCCCCTCCTCTCCCGGGGTGGCTGCGCTGTCCCCGGGGCTGGGGTCGAGCCAAGCCCCCTCTTCCTCCTCAGCATCGCCGCCCTGGGGGTGCCTGGCGCCTGCAGCGCTGCTCGGGGATGGGGGGGTCTGCAACGAGAGAGGTGGCAGCGGGGCTCTGCCCATTCCTCCCTCCACAGCACCCACCTTCAGGCACCCACCGCGCCCTGCAGCATCCACAGCACCCCACAGCACCCACAGCGCCCCGCAGCACCCACCGCACCCCGCAGCACCCACCGCACCCCGCAGCACTCACAGCGCCCCACAGCACTCACAGCGCCCCGCAGCACCCACTGCACCCTGCAACACCCACAGTGCCCCGCAGCACCCACCGCGCCCCGCAGCACCCACAGCGCCCCGCAGCACCCACAGCGCCCCGCAGCACCCACCGCGCCCCGCAGCACCCACCGCGCCCAGCAGCACCCACCGTGCCCCGCAGCACCCACAGCGCCCCGCAGCACCCACAGCGCCCAGCGGCACCCACCGTGCCCCGCAGCACCCACAGCGCCAGGCAGGACCCACCGCGCCCTGTAGCACCCACAGCCCCCACAGTGCCCCGCAGCACCCACAGCGCCAGGCAGCACCCACCGCGCCCCGCAGCACCCACAGCGACCCGCAGCACCCACCGACTCAGCCTTCTGCTTGGCTTGGGACTCCTGTCCCAGCTTCTCCCGTTTCTTCCGCTCTTTCTGCTTCTGGAAAGAGGGAATCACACAGGGAATAACTGTGCCGTGACCAGGCGGCACGGATCCCCCGCTCCAGCACAGCCCAGCCTCGGTGGGCACCCACCTTCTTCTTCAGCTTCTTCTTCTCTGCTTTCCTCTTTACCCGCTCCTCCTCTGCCACCAGCTCCTGCGCGTTCCGCTCCGCTTCCTGGGGAGGAAACACCGGGAGCCACCAGTGCCCGAGCGCCCCAGGAGCTGCCCCCTCCCCGCTCCCGGCTGCGGCCCCGGCGGCTCCCTCACCTCTGCCGTGGGCCGGAGGTCCTGCGGGGCCGGCAGCCAGGGCAGCTTCTCCTCCAGCGCGCTCGGGGGCGGCCGCAGCGGGTCCTGGACCAAAAACGCTTTTCGGAGCCCGCAGAAGGTGGAGCCGGGGTCGCCATCAGCACTGGGAACCGCAACGGGAACCACAGTGGGAACCGCACCGGGCCACGGCCACGACCAAGACCACTGCAACCCCTCATCCTCCTCTTCATCCTCCTCCTCATCGCTGGACGCCTCCAGCCGCCCGGGGCAGTACCAGAAGCCGGGACCTGCGCGGACAGAACCGGGGCCGTCAGCGGCAGCTCTGGGGCACCGGGACCCCCAAGAGCCCGCACCGGCGGCTCCCCCGACTCACCGCGGCCGAGCGCGTCCCAGGCCCCGGTCCCGTCGCCCATGGCGCTGAGGTCCGCGGGCAGCGCCCGGCGCTCGGGCGGGCAGTGGAAGGGGCAGAACGGGGCTGCGGGGAGCGGAGCCGCGGGTAACGTAAACCGAAACCGAAACTCGGCGGGGGTGGAGCCGCAGCGGGCTCCTCCTCCCGCGATGGAGCCTCACCCTCCCCGTGCCCCCAGCCCCGTGGTGCGGCTCCCGCCGCAGCGGGACCCCGGCCCCGCCGCACCCCGGCCCCGCTGACCCCCCCCCCCCGTACCGCCGCTCCAGCCGCCGGGGCCGAGCGCGCAGCCCCAGGGGCAGGCGGCGGGGGCAGCCCCGCGCCCGGAGGGGCCCAGCCCCGGGCTCCGCTCCCCGCCCGCTTCCCGCATCGCCCCACGCCGCTGGCGGAGGACAGGAAGGGGCGCACTGGGCGGACCGGAAGTGGGGCACGGCGCCTGCCGGGGCTGCCCCGCCGCCATGCTGGGTGCTGGCAGGACGGCGGCCCGCGAGGCCCGTACTGAGCAGCGCCGCGGCCCCGCCGCCCCTCGAGCCGGGTTCCCGGCCGAGTCCCGCTGCTCCGGAGCGGCCCCGCGCGGGGCTCCGCGGCGCTGACCTCTCGCCGGGTCAACCCTGCCCGTTCCTCCGGATTAGCGCGGGCGCGGCCTAAGCCTCTTTCCTCCCACCGCCCCCGGCCATGGCCCAGCATGGAGGACGGCGGCCGTGAGCGGCGCGGCGCGGAGCCCTGCCCGCAGGTGAGGCCCTGGGCGGGCGCGGAGCCCCGGGATCAGCCCCATCACCGGGGGCACCGGCGGGGCCCGGGCCCGGTGCGTGGGCCAGGCCCCAGCTGCGTTTAGCGTCTCCCTGGCAACGGCCCCGGGGGGGGGCGTGTTCTTAGCGGGGGGCGTGGCCACGGGGGCGACTCCGCGACTGCCAAAGGCGAGGGGCGGGAACAGCGCTCAGGCCACGCCCCCCTCGGCGTTAGCCCCGCCCCTCCCGGCGCTGACCGCCCGCGCTCCCGTAGGACCCTGTCCGTGATGTCGCCGGCCCCGGTGGCCTCGTCCCGCTGCTGCTGCCGGCCCTGCCCGCGCCGGGGGACGGGGATCCCCGCGGGGCATCCCCAGAGCCAGGTGAGGGCCGGGCCGGGGGCGGGCACAGCCGGGTGCAATGCACGTGTCCCTGCGGTGCGAGCAGGGCTGCGGCACCCCAGAGCGTCCGGGAGAGAGGCTGGGGGTCTCGCCGGGGTGACCGCAGCGGGGGCTGCCCCTCACGCTGCCCCACACCGAGGTGTGGACCCCCGGTCCCCGCAGGCAGCAGCTCCCGGGGGCCCCTGTCCCGGTCCCTGCGGAAGGCCGAGGCGATGCTGCGCGGCTGCGTCAGCCCCGGCCTGCGGCGCCTGCTGCCTCCGCGGCCCCGGCGACGCGGCCCCGGCAGCGAGGACGAGGATGAGGACGAGGATGAAGAAGAAGCCTCCGCGCTTCTGACCCCGTTGGAGCGGAGCTTCCCGGGGCTGCGCCGCTGCCTCTGCGTCCGCGAGGATCCGCGCACCGAGACCTTCCACGGCCACGTGCGGCCGCCGCCCTGCGACGCCGACACCGCCGACGCCGTCACCACCGCCGCGGCCTTCTCGTTCCACCCGGTGCACCCGCGCGTGGCCGAGCGCGGCGCGGCCCTGCACGCGCTGCTGCGGCAGCGCCACCTCCTCCGCCTCGCCCGTGACTACAGCCGCCGGCTCCAGGCCGCGTCCGGCTTCCTCCGCCGGCTGCTGGCGCTGCTGCAGGAGCCGGTACCGGAGCTGGACTCGGGGCCGCCGCTGCGGGAGCTGTGCCGGGAGCTGCGGGTGCACACCGGGCACTGGGGCGCGCTGCGGCGGCGGCTGCGCGGGGACCCGTGGCTGCGGGCGCTGGTGCTGCACCGGGGCGAGGCCGTGGCGCACATGCGGCGGGCGCTGGTGCTGCTGGCGCTGCAGGCGCTGAGCCTGGCTGAGCACCTCGCCGAGGCGCGGCTGCGGGCGCTGGCCCGGACCGGCAGTGCCGCCGCTTCCCTCCCGGAGCTGCTCTCCGACCTCTTCCAGGGCCTGGACATCTACAACCGGGCCGTGGGTGACCTGGAGCCGGAGCTGGGCGCCGCTGGCTGCCTTCCCACCGGCACCGCCGGCCGTCCCGGTGCTGCCGAAGCCTCATCCCGCCCCTTCCCAGCGTCCCGGGTGCTGCAGATTGTGGCAGCTGAGCGGGGCTGGCTGGCGGCCGGGCGGCTCCGGCCCTTCCTACAGCTGCGGGCCGGTGCCGGTGGGGATGAGCCTGTGCGCTGGGAGGACACCGAGGTGCCTTGGCTGCCGGAGCACGGTTCCGCGGCGGACACGGATTCCTGCGGCCGGGAGGAGCATCCCAGCATGGCCGGGACACTGAGGGCGCTGTGCAGGGAGGATGAGGAGCTCATGGGCCTCCTCCTGGGGGTGCTGGTGGCCTCATCCGGCAGCTTCCAGCACCACGTCCTTCATGTGCCCAAGGAGAAGCCACCGGCGGCGGCACCGGGGCCCCCGGAGCCCCAAGAGCCGGGCTGGGCCGGCTGGACATCGGTACCGGCGGCCCAGGCCCTGCTCGCACGGTACCGACCGCTGTTCTGGGACGCCGCGGCCGCCGCGCTGGGGCACGGTGCGGAGCTGCTGCCCGGCGGGACTCTGCCGGCGGCGGCGCTTGAGCTGAGTGGCGCCATCGGCGCCGGTACGTGGGGGCGGCGGAGGGGGCCGGTACCGGGGGCTGCTCCTCGTGGCCCTGACAGCCCGTCCCGTCCGCCCGCAGCTCCTGTGCCCCGGGAGTGCCGGGAAGAGCTGGGGCGGCTCAGCCTGAGCTTGCTGTGCCGCGGCGCGCTCCGGAGCTGGGACACAGGTACGGGGGTCCCGGGAATGGGGTGTGAGGCACCGGGAATGGGAGGCGGGATGGGAGCTACGGGGCTACCGCCCGTGTGTCCGCAGGCTTCACCTGCGCCCTGGGCTCGGCTCTCTCCGACAAGTGCTCCGGGGATGCGGTGCCGGCGTCGGGCCCTGTGCGGAGCCGCACAGCGACGCTGCTGCACCGGCTGTACCCGGCCCTGGCCCTGGCCCTGCGCTGCCTGCGCCCGCCGCCCGGTCAGTGGGGTCCGGGGAGGGGGACGGGGACACGGCGGGGTCCTGCCCCACATCTCATCCCCACCTCTGTCCCCCCAGACCTTCCCCCCGGGCCCCCCTGCCTGCGCCTGCAAGTCCTGGGCTGCTGCCTGGCCACGGTGCAGGCTGCCCACTCCTGGCTGACCGGCAGAGCCTGCAGGTACCTGGCGGCCTGGGCTCTGCCCCAGTTCCTGCTTGTCACCCAGGGGGACCTGCAGGTACCTGGGGGTTGGGGATGGCTTGTGGGGCTGCTCTGGGGCTGCTGTGGGCTGGCATCTTCCTACACCTCTCCCCTGTGTCCCAGCTGCTGAAGATGGAGACAGACAAACTGGTGCTGCTGGTGAAAGGTACCTTCCCAGAGCCTGGGGATGTCTCCCCACCGCTGCCCCTCCTTGTGATGTCAAACCAGGAGCTCCAGCTCTGCCAGCGCATTCGTTCCATGGCCACCAGCATCCAGGTATGCACCTCTGGGAGCTGAACCATGGCCATTCTGTGCTGTGCTATGGACATTCCGTGCCATGCTATGGCCACTGCATCCCACCTCCCACTCCTCTGCCCCAGCTCTTCTCAGGGGACGTGCTGAAGATGTTCTCCACCGGCTGCAAGCGGATGTCGGCACAGATCTTCCACCAGACCATGCCCAGGGGCAAGCACTGGAGGATCTCACTGCGCGCCGGTGCGTTGGGTGCCCCGGTGCGGGCAGGGGCTGCAGGCAGCAGCACAGGCAGTCCTGACGCTGTTGCCGTGCCCCAGAGCTGCCCAGTTGCCCCAGTGCATATGCAGCAGCAGCAGCGCAGGCAGTGCTGGGGCAGGTGCTGCAGGGAGCGCGGCTGCTGCCCCGTGACGCGCAGGCCCCCGCCATGGCCGGGGGCACCACGGCCTTCCTGGAAGCCTGGATGGAGCACATCCTGGAGCACCGCATCCGCTTCAGGTACAGGCTATGGGGCACCGGGGGGTTACCGGGGGTGCCGCCGGCCCCGGGGCCGTGCTGAGCGCGCCGCGCCGCAGCCTGCAGGGAGCGCTGCAGCTCCGGCAGGACTTCGAGCTGGTGCGGGAGCTGGTGGCCTCGGAGCGCTCCGGGCTGGCCCCGGAGACCCGGCGGGAGCTGGTGGCCCTGAGCGTGTTCCAGCAGATGGATGGAGCCATCCTGTGCCTCCTGCAGCAGCCCGGAGCCGCGGCCAGAGCCGGAGCGCGGCCGTGGAACAGCCTCAGGCACTGCTGTGGGTCTGGGGATGGGAAAAAGGATGGAGATGGGATAGGGATGGGGATGGAGATGGGATAGGGATGAGGATGGAGATGAGATGGGGACAGAGGTGGGGATGGGGGTTACAATGTGGATGGGATGAGATGGCAAGGGGGATTGGAACAGGATGGGGATGGGATGGGTGGAGATGAGGGTGGACATAGAGATAGGTTGGGGATGGGTATGGGATAGGGACAAGGGTGGGGATGGGAACATAGGGATGGGGATGAGGATGGGGACAGGGGGATGCAGTTAGGGAAGGGATGGGGGATGGGCACATGAGGATGGGGACAAGGATGGGCTGGGGATTGGGATGGGTCCTTCTCCCCTTGGCTGCCCCACGGGCTGTGTCCATCCCAGTCCCGGCCGCGCTGGTCCCATGGAGGGCGTGGTGCCGAGGACCCCCCAGCTCCATCCCCTCATCCTCCTCCAGGCTCAGACAACGGCTCCCACCCCCCGGAGCCGGCAGCGGGGATCCTGCAGGGTCTGGACACGCTGGAGGCTCCGGTGCCGGTGGCTCCCGCCCCGTGTCCTGCCGGTGCCGCGGGGCCGGCGCGCCCCGGGGTCCCCGAGTCCTACCTGTCGGGCCGGCAGCAGCAGTGGCTGGCGCTGCGGCTGCACCGCGCTCGCCGGTGGCGCGTCCCGGGGCTGCCCTGCATCCGCGACCCCTCCGGGCAATAAACCCTGAGCGGGACCAGAACCGAGCCTTGCGTCCGAGCCCGGTGCGGCGGGACAGGAGGGGGGGTCTGGGGAGTACTGGGGGCAGCGGGGGACCACAAGGGAGTATCGAGGGGTGCCGGTGGTACTGGGGAGCACTGGAGGGTGGCGGGGTTCACCGGGTGACACCATGGGGGGGGGGGTGCCCCTCTGCATCCTCATCCTCCAGAGGGGCCGTAAGCACCTTGTGAGCGAGGGCGGTACCGGACAGCTCAAGCAGTGACCGGGGGCTGTTACCGGCCACTGCCCCCCCCTGCAGTGGGGGCTTGGGGGGCTCCTGAGCTTGTGCTCCCCAAAACCTCGTACCCAAGAGCCCCCCATCCATGGGGCAGCGGTGGGGACGCGGTAAAGCGGCTCCATGCCGGGGGTGTGCGCGGTGGGGGGCTCTGGGATGCCTTAGCCTGCTGTTTATCCGCCCGCCCACCAGGCGGCGCCACTGCGGTCCCCGTCGCTCGGCGATGACGCTCCCGGCGCGACCGCAGCATGGCGGGCGAGCGGCGGCGGCGCGGCGGGGACGGGGCGCGGGAGCGGCCGCGGTGTCCGCGGCGGGAGCGGGAGCCGCGAGAGCAACGGCGGGGCCTGGGCCTGGGCCGGGGCCGCCCCGCGCTCGCCGTGGCCGCCGTGGCTGTCGCGGCCGCCGCCGCCGCTCTGTGGTTTGCGGCCCAGTGGGGCCGGTGGAGCGCGGCCGCCCGCCTCGTCAGCCCGCACCCGGCCCCGCCCGCGCTGCCGCCCGGCTCCACCGGGGCTCTCCGGTCGCCGCGGCTGTTCTGGGGCACGTACCGGCCTAACGTGTACTTCGGCATGAAGACGCGCAGCCCCAGGGCGCTCGTTACCGGTACCGGGAGGGCGGCGGGAGCGGGACGGGCCGAGCCCGCCGGGGTAGCGGCACTGACCCGCCGTTATTGCAGGGTTGATGTGGCTGCAGCAGCAGGAGGGAGGCGGCGGCCTGCGGCACACGTGCGAGGAGAGCGATGGGCTCTCGCGGTACGGGTGGGTGATGCACGACGGGGAGAGCTTCGGCGTGCAGGAGATCAGAGACGGGGCCGTGCTGCTGAGAACCGAGTTCGTGAAGAGGCCCGGAGGGGAGCACGGAGGAGACTGGAGCTGGAGGGTGACAGCGCAGTTGGAGGTGAGGATGGGGATGGGGACAGCGAGAGCATGGAGCTGCTGCGAGGGCTGGAGCAGCTCTGCTCTGAGCCAGGCTGAGAGAGCTGGGCTGGGGCAGCCTGGACAAGAGAAGGCTCCTGAAGGGGAGACCTGAGAGCAGCTCCAGTGCCTGAAGGGGCTGCAGGAAACCTGGAGAGGGGCTTGGGACAGGGGATGTAGGGACAGGCCAAGGGGAATGGCTTTAAGCTGCCAGAGGGGAGACTGAGATGAGCTCTTAGGCAGAAGCTCTTCCCTGGGAGGGTGCTGAGGCGCTGGCACAGGGTGCCCAGAGAAGCTGTGGCTGCCCCATCCCTGGCAGTGTTCAAGGCCAGGTTGCACACAGGGGTTTGGAGCAAGCTGCTCCAGTGGAAGGGGTCCCTGCGGCACTTCCAGGCTCCTTCCCAACCCAATTCCCATCTCCCCCCCCAGAACACAACCACCCCCCCTCCCCTCCTCTCCCTGTTCTTCTACGTGGCCACGGACGGTCAGGGCACGCTGGAGCCGCAGCTGGAGAACGGGACACGTTTGGCTGCGGTCAAAGGGGCAACGGAGGAGCTGGGACACTTCACCCTCAGCTTCCTGCGCCCCACGGTGCCGAGCTCCCAGGACCCCAAGCACGCCAGGTACAGCACCGCCGCGTCCACCCTGCCCCCCCCTTGTGTCTCCCTCCCTGACGGCCTCTTCCCATCCCCAGTTACAACTGGCTGGAGGCGCCCAGCCCGGGGCTGCACCGTCTGACGGAGCTGGTGCGCAGCAGCCTCAGCCCCCGCTCCGTGTTCTCAGCCCCGGGGCGGCCGCGGCGCCGGTTCTTCGCCCTGTCCCCGTCTGGGGGCCTCCCCGGTGACCCCCCCCGCGGGCGGGTGCTGCTGCACCAGGTGACGCTGGAGCCGCCGGCCGCCGTGGAGGTGACGTTCGAGTCGGGCAGCGCGGCCCCGGCCCCGGCGCCCCTGGCAGGAGCCGCTTTCTCGGCGGCGCTGGCTCGGCACGAGGCCGCGTTCCAGCAGCGCTTCGAGGCCACCTTCGGGCTGGCGGGGAAGGGCTTCACGGCGCCGCAGCAGCGCTTTGCGCAGGCGTCGCTCAGCGAGGTGCTGGGTGGCATCGGATACTTCCACGGGCACTCACTGGTGCAGGCGGCGCCCGGGGAGCGCGCGGTGCCCGGCGCCGAGGCCGCGCTCTTCACCGCCGTCCCCTCCCGCTCCTTCTTCCCCCGCGGCTTCCTGTGGGACGAGGGCTTCCACCAGCTGCTGGTGGCGCGCTGGGACCCGGCGCTGAGCCGCGAGGTGCTGGCGCATTGGCTGGACCTGATGAACGCCGAGGGCTGGATCCCACGGGAGCAGATCCTGGGGGAGGAGGCGCGGGCCAAGGTGCCCCCCGAGTTCGTGCTGCAGCGCAGTGAGACCGCGAACCCCCCGACGCTGCTGCTGGCGCTGGAGCGGCTGCTGCCGGCGGCGCCGCGGCCCTTCCTGCAGCGCCTCTTCCCACGCCTGCGCGCCTGGTACGCGTGGCTGAACCGCACGCAGGCCGGGCCGGAGCCGCTGAGCTTCCGCTGGCGCGGGCGCGACACCGAGCACGAGCGCTTCCTCAACCCCAAGACGCTGGCGTCGGGGCTGGACGATTACCCCCGCGCCTCGCACCCGTCCCCGCACGAGCGGCACCTGGACCTGCGCTGCTGGATGGCGCTGGGCGCCCGTGTGCTGGCGGCGCTTGCCGAGCGCCTGGGCGAGCCGGCGGAGCCGTTCCATGCCACGGCAGAGGCGCTCAGCGACAACGAGCTGCTGGAGCGGCTGCACTGGGCGCCCGACCTTGGTGCCTTTGCCGACTACGGCAACCACAGCGTGGCCGTGGCCCTGCGCTGGCAGCCCCCAGCGCCCGCAGCCCCGGGGCAGCCCCCGGCGGCGCCGCAGCTAGTACGGGAGGTGCGGGAGGCGCCGCGGCTGCGGTTCGTGGATGCCCTGGGTTACGTGAGCCTGTTCCCGTTGCTGCTGCAGCTGTTGCGGCCAGACTCGCCGCGGCTGCCCGCGGTGCTGGCCGCCATGCGCAGCGAGAGGCAGCTCTGGTCGCCCTTCGGGCTGCGCTCGCTGGCGCGGGACAGCACCTTCTACCTGCGGCGCAACACGCAGCACGACCCCCCGTACTGGCGCGGCTCCGTCTGGCTCAACATCAACTACCTGGCGCTGCGGGCGCTGCACGGCTACGCCAGCACCGAGGGGCCACAGCGGGAGCGCGCAGCGGAGCTGTACCGGGAGCTGCGCCACAACCTCATCACCAACGTGTACCGGCAGCACGTGGAGAGCGGCTTCCTGTGGGAGCACTACAGCGACAGCTCTGGGCGCGGGCAGGGCTGCCGGCCCTTTGCCGGCTGGACCGCGCTGGTTGTGCTGGCCATGGCCGAGGACTATTAGTGCTGCCGGTACGGCACGGCTCTGCCTTGTCTCAGGTGCTGGGGGGCTGCGGTGTCCCCCACAATAAACCTCCACCCCTCGTGGCCTGTCTGTGCCTCTCCTGGGGGTCACAACCGGCCCGTGGTGCCTTGCCAGTGCTCCCGGTACAGCCGCGGTGCTGCCACACCTCTTTAATGGCGACACAATGGTACGGACGTGACCGCCCCCCCCCCCTCCGCCATGGGCAGCAGTTCGGGCTCAGTGGGTGCTGGGGGGGGCTGATGGGGCGAGGGTTCTCCCCGGGGGCTCCACAGGAGAGTCCAGACCCCGGGAACGCTGCCCTGTGCCGGGGGGAGCCATGGGGCAGCACCAGGGCAGGCTCAGATGGGTAGCACTGGGGAGCTGGGCCCATCACTGCAGGGGGGCGGGGGGGTGGTGCCGGCCTTGCCCAGCAGACGGGAGCCTTCACCCTCTTCCTCCTCCTCCTGGCACCGTCCCACCTCGATGCCGGAGTCCCCAGTAAGGCGCCGGTGCCGGAAGTGCTCCCCGGTGCCGCTGGTGCCAGTGCCCTCGTCCCATGGCGCGGCACCTTCCTCCTCCTCGCCCTCCTCGATGTCAGAGCAGGGCTGCGCGTCCGCCTCACACAAGTCCGTGGTGGAGGAGAAGAGGCCGTGGAGCTGCGGCGGCTCCCAGCTGCCCACGGTGCTGGTGCTGCTGGTGCCGGCATCGTCACTGGGGGTGCTGGTGGCGTCCGTGGCTGGCGCCGACAGGGACGTGCTGCTGGGGGATGTGGCACAGCTTGAGCCGCAGGAGCAGCTGCTGCAGCGCTCGGAGCTGAGGCTGCTGCTGCGTGGCGCCAGCACCGGGCTGTACGGCGGCGGCGGGGACCTGGGGCCGTGTGCGACCTCCTCGTAGGCCGGCAGCTTGAAGGAGGCCAAGAGCCCTGCGTGGGGGAAGAGGGGAGGCTCCGGTCAGGGCAGGGCCTCCCCCGGGGTGTGGGTGCTGCTGGGACCGATCCTGGGAGGGGTGGAACTGGAATGGGGCCCTGGGGCAGAGGTGCGGGGACACAGCGGGGGATGCAGGGGACTGGTGGAGATACATAGGGGAGATGCAAGAGGGGAAGGCGGGGGGGTGAGGGTGGGGACTGGGATGCAGGGGCTGGGGTCGGACATGGGAGGAATGGGGGGAGAGGAGAATGTGGAGCACTGAGGGGATGCAAGAGGGATGTGAGGGGCTAGGGAAGGACAAGGGTTGTGGAGGGGGTGCAGGGTGAACACAGGGTGGATGTGGGGGAACACAGAGGGGATGTGGAAGGGCTGAAGGGGACGGATGAGGGATGACATGGGAGGGGATACAGGGGGCTGGGGGGGGCACAATGGAGGGGACCAAGAGGGGATGGAGAGGTCTGAGAAGGGCGTCGGGGGGATGCAGGGAATTGGGGAGGACAAGGGAGGAGGACCTGGGGTGCTGCAGGGAGGCAGCGGAGGGTGGGGGTCTGGGAGAGGGCTGCAGGAGGAGGATCCGGGGTGCTGCGGGGCCGGTGCCCGTCACTCACTGAGGTCCATCATGGAGGCAGGGTAGCTGCAGGCCCCGTGGTAGGCGATGAGGTTGATCTCGCGCTGCCGCTGCTGCTGCTGCAGGCGCAGCTTGGCGCGGCGGTGCCGGTAGGCGCAGCAGCAGCTCAGCAGGATCAGGATGGTCCAGAGCAACCAGAACCCTGCGGGGCGGAGCGCAGCGGGGTCAGCCGGGCCCCGGCCCGCCCCCCCCCCCAGCCCCGCTCCGGGCCCCCACTCACACCACAGCTCGTAGTAGTAGGTGCAGCAGCCGCTCTCCCCGCAGCAGTGCCCGCTCTCGCACACGTAGGGCCGGTTGTTCACGCCCGGGCAGTGCTCCCGCGCCTGCGGGCACAGACGCGCGGTCACGGCGGCCCCCGCCGCCGGCCCCGGCCCCCCGCCGCGCCCCGCGGTACCTGCGGCTGCTGCCGGCCCAGCAGCGCGGCCCAGCCCCCCGCGCCGCCGCCGGGCCGCTCCATGGCGCTCACAGCCCGCCCCCGGGCCCGGCCCCGGCCCCCGCCGCCCGCCGCCGCCGCCGCCCCCCCCCCGCCGCCGCCATCGCGCCCGCCGCCGCCGCCCGGGCCGCAGCCTCCGCCGCCGCCATCGCGCCCGGGCCCGAGCACCCGCCCGCAGCCGCCTCACCCTGACCAATCGGACGCCGCCTCGCCGCCCTCAGCCAATCGGCGCCGCCGCCGCCGCCCTGCCTCCGCCAATCGGGAGCCGTCTGCCCCACAGTCACGCCCAACAACAGAGACAAAGGGACTGAGCCCCGCCCCCTGACCGGATTGGCGGCCGCCGCAGCCAACCGCGCGCGGAGCCCCGCCCCTCGGCCGTAACTGACAACCGAGCTGGCCAATAGGAGCGCAGCCCCGGGGCTCGCCAACAAGCCCGCCCGCTAGGAGGTCCTTCGGGAGAGCCCTACCAATGCGCGACGCAAGCTAGTGATTGGCGCAGCTTCCAACCAATCAGCAACGCCGATATCTGCCTGGCGGGACCCCAGCCAATGGGAGGCACCGCAGAGCCCTCGCCGGTGCCCCGCCCGGGAGGGCTGTACCATAACGGGGGCGGTGGGGCAGAGGGAGCGGGCGGTACCACTGCGCAGGAACGGGGGAGGCCGGGCTGCCCCATTGTGTCCCGGGGGAGGGGCCGGGCTGTACCACCGCGCTCCGGCTGTGGGGGAGCTGCCCCGTTAAGGATATGGGGGAAAGCCGGGAGCCCCAGAGCGCTCCGGTGAGGAGGGGGATCCATCCCTGCCCCCATCCCGGTGGGTCCACACACGGCTCCTTCACCACCAACCTTTAATGAGCTCCGCGGGACCCGCCCCGGCACCCCCACCCCACCCCATTGCTCCCCATGTCCATAGCGGAGGCGCCGGTGCCTCCACTGCCGCCAGCACCGGGCTAAGCCGCGGCGTCCATGAGCTGGAGGTTGCGGCGGTAGCAGGCGAGGCTGCAGAGCGGGCGCCCGGAGCGCGAGCACGAGTACCGCTTCACATTGCCGCAGCCGGCGACGCTGCAGAGCACCGGGACTGGCGGCACGGCAGGCACCGATGCCGGCAGCAGCGGCAGCGCCATCCCCACCGGGAAGGACACGGTGATGCGGTCGGCAGCGTTGCGGTAGTGCACGACGGGGCACGGTGCCGGCCGTGCCCGGCGCTCCCGCAGCGTCTTCACCTTGGCCTTGCTGGTCTTGGTGAGGCGCTCGATGGTCTGGTTCTTGTTCTCCTCCGCCTTCTTGGCGGCCTGCAGGCGCCGCTTCCGCGCCCGCTCCTCCCGCTTCACCAGCATCTCCTCCGTCAGCTCCTTCGCCTTGTAGCCCATGGGCAACTCCAGCAGCGGCTGGCTCTGCTGCTTGTGCAGGAGCGCTTTCTGCAGGGCAGGAGGGCGCTGTCATCGCCAGGCCACAGCCCCACACCCCTTCTGGGGCTCCACATCTCACCCCAGTGACCAGCCCCACAGCCACACTGAGCCCCTCGGTACCTGCCGAGCCGTCAGCAGGGACTCATCCACCTCCTTCTTGAGCTCCCCGTTGTCGTCCAGCTCGCCCTTCTCCAGGGCATCGAGCCAGCGCTCCTCCTCCTCCTCCTCCTCCTCGCGCGCAGGGAAGCAGCTCTCGGGGTCCAGCTCCGGCAGGGGCGAGGGCTCCAGGTTGCTGTCCTCATCTGCGCCGGGATGGGGTCACCGGGGAGGGGAGGGCACCCAGCACCCTCCCTGCATCCAACCCAGCCAACTCCCCCTTCCCCTCCCCGCTGCCCCCGGGGCTCACCCAGCCAGGCCCGGTACTGCTCGATGGGCACCCCTTCCGCGGGCTCCTCGTCCTCATCCACCACCATCAGCGGCGAGGGCGAGCGCGGCGCCTCGGGCACCACCGTGAACGTGGGGACGCTGCGGGGGTGGGAACGACACACACACGGTGAGGCCGGGCCGGGCCGCGGGGTGGGAGCTGCGCCCGGCCGGGCCCCCCCTCACCTCTTGGTGCCCAGGATCTGCCCCCCCAGCTTGATCTTGAGCTTGAGCTGCGGCTTGGGCAGGGGCGGCGCGGGGGGACTCGGCCCCGCCGCCTCATGGTGGTGTTTCTTCTTGTGCTTCTTCTTGTGCTTCTTGTGCTTCTTCCTATGGGAGCCATGCCCGCCGCCCGCCTCGGCCTCCGCCCCGGCGCCTGCGGGGGGCACAGGGGTCAGCTCCGCCCCGGGACCCGCCACCGCCGGCCCGCGGCGCCCCCCCCCCCCCCCCCCCCGGCCCTCACCGTGCCCGCCGGCCTCCATCCTGCCCCGCCGCCAGGCCTTGCTCATCCGCCGCTGCCGCTGCCGCTGTCCCGCGGCTGGGGGAACCGATTGCGGACGGACCACTTCCGCCCGGAGATGGAGTTGTTGCAGTACAGGGGAGGCGCCGGACCGCCATCTTTGAAGTGGGCAAGTGAGCAACGGGGAGCTCTGTCGGGGCGGAAACAGGATCCGAGGGACAGAGGGCCCGGGCAGCGCCCCCATAGAGACGCGCGTGTGTGTGCGCGTGCAAGGGCGCGATGCCGGTGCACACCGTGCGCGCGCCCGGGCGGGACACACCGTGTACGAGCACGGCCCCGCAGCAGATCAGTGCCGGCTCCTTGCACACGGGTTAACGCGCACACACACACACACGTGGGTCCTGTCCTCTGTGCACACACGCGTGCACACACAACACATAGACACAGAACATATGGACACACCACACACGGACACACCACACACGGACACACAACACATGGACACACAGCACATGGACACACAACAACACATGGACACACAACACATGGACACACAACAACACATGGACACACAACAACACATGGACACACCACACACGGACACACAACACATAGACACAGAACATATGGACACACCACACACGGACACACCACACACGGACACACCACACACGGACACACAACACATGGACACACAGCACATGGACACACAGCACATGGACACACAACAACACATGGACACACCACACATGGACACACAACACATGGACACACAGCAACACATGGACACACAACAATACATGGACACACAACAACACATGGACACACCACACACGGACACACAACACATGGACACACAGCACATGGACACACAACAACACATGGACACACAACACATGGACACACAGCAACACATGGACACACAACAATACATGGACACACCACACACGGACACACAACACATGGACACACAGCACATGGACACACAACAACACATGGACACACAACACATGGACACACAACAACACATGGACACACAACAATACATGGACACACCACACACGGACACACCAGACATGGACACACCACACATGGACACACAACAACACATGGACACACAACACATGGACACACAACAACACATGGACACACAACAATACATGGACACACCACACACGGACACACCAGACACGGACACACCACACATGGACACACAACAACCCCCCTTGTGTCCCGGCAGCTGCTCCCGCACTGACTCGGGCCATTGTCCTGCCCGCACCACCCGGTGCCAGCTCCGATGCTCCCGATGCCTCCCGCCGTGTCCCGGCTCACTCTGGCCTCAGAGTCAAGGAGCCATCGGGTGGGACCCCCGGTACCGGCACCATGCTCTGCCAGGACGAGCGCACGGGGCTGACAGTGACCGACCCCCCGCAGGTACGGTACCGGCACCGCTACCGGCACGGCACCAACACCCACCCCGGTGCCCCTGCCCCGTCCCCCCGGCACCGGCCGCACTCGCCCTGCCCGTCGCGCCGCCGCCTCCGGCCCAGCCGGTGTTTCCCGCTGCACCACCCGGTTCTTGCCTTCGCCCCCGGCACCGGCACCGAGCCAGGGCGGCAAGGCAGGGACGGGACACGGGGGTGGGGGGGAAAGGGGGGGGCACGGGGGGAGCCCGGGGCCGGGGTTGGGGGGGTCTGGGAGTGTCCAGGACCGGGATGTGCCGGGGAGGGGGACCCTCTTGCACCGGGCACGTGGTCGGCACGAGGCGCCGGGGGTCCCAGTGTATCCGGGGGGGGGTTCTGGTGCATATTGAGGGGGGTCCAGTGCTCCCAGTACCGGCTGCACATGGTGGTGATGGGTTGGGGGGGGGGGCGGTGCACTTTGGGCGTCCCGGTTCACCCGGTACCGGCTGCACATGGGAGGGAGGTCCCGGTCCAACCGGAGGGGGAGGGGGGGGGACGGACGGACGAACGACGACACGGGACGGGACACGACAGCGCATCTGGGGGGGTCCTGGTGCATACTGAGGGGGTGCCTGGGTGCGCCTTGGGGGGGTCCCGCTGCTCTCTGCGGGCTCCCGGTGCCCCCGGTACGAGCAGCGCACGGAGGTGACGGCGGCCCCCGTGCATTCGTGGGTCCGGCTGCTCCCGGGGGGGCCTCGCTCTCTCTCTGTCCCGGTGCCGCGGGCGGGGCCGGTGCCGGGAGGGGAGGGACGGGAACGGCGGGGGGGGGCGGTCCGGGGGCGGTCGCGCGCCGCCTTCCTGTGCGCGCGGCGGAGCTGGAGCGCGAGCGGCGGAAGGTACCGGGAGCGGGGGGGGGGGGCTGCGAGCACCGGGGCGGCGGGGGGGGAGGGGGGGAGACGGGACCCGGATCGGGACCGGGACTGGGACCCCACGCACCCCTCGGTGCTTCGGCCCCGGCTCGGTCCCGGCTCCCCCCCCCCCCGGCCCGTCCTGAGCCCGAACCCGCACCGCGATCGCTGCCCCCGTGTCCCTGAGCCCCTCATTCAGCCCCCGTCCCCCTCCCGCACCCCGAACCTTGCTCAGCCCCGCAGCCCTTGTCCCGCCCCCTGCTCCTCACCTCCTGCACCCCAAACCCCGCACCCCGACCCAGCACCCTGCCCTCTCCCCATTCTCCAGCCCCAGCACCCCTTATCCCCCCCCCGCATCCCAAACCCTGCACCCCAACCCCAGCGCCCCTTCTCCCCCTGTACCCTGCACCCCGTCCCATGCCCTGCCGCCTGTCCTGTCCCCGGCACCCATCCTGACCCTGCCCCCCATCTCCCGCACACTTTCTCCTGTTTCCCATCCCCTGCACCCCACTTTCTGCACCCCTTATTCCCCTCTTGCACCCAATCCTAGCCCCTGCACCCATCACACGCACCTCAAACCCTGCACCCCAACTCCTGCACCCCTTCTCCACCCTGGCCTGCGGGCCCTGTGCCCCATCTTGTCCCCAGCACCCCTTATCCCCCATGCATCCCAGCCCAGCACCCCATTCTGACCCTGAACCCTGCACCTTGATCCCGGCACCCCTCATCCCTTCCCTGCACCCCAAACCTTGTCCCCTGCACCCCAACTTCTGCACCCCATCTCATCCCTGCACTCCATCTTGTTCTTTGCACCCCAACTCCTGCATCCTATCCCCTGCACCCATCCTGACCCTTCATCCCAACACAGCACCCCTTATCCCCCCTTGCACCCAAAGCCCTGCACCCTATCCTGACCCTACACCGTGATCCCAGCACCCTTTACGCCTTCCCTGCACCTTAAACCTTGTCCCACTGCCCTGCACCACTTCTCCTACCCCCCCACCCCATATTGTCCCCCGCACCCCAACCTCAGCACCCTCTATCACATCCCCGCACCCCATCCAGTCCCCTGCACCCCAAACCCTGCACCCAACCCCTGCACCCTCTCTTGACCATGTACCCCCACCCCAGCACCCTTTAGTCCCCCCTGCACCTGAAGCCCAGAACTCCTGTGCCTGCACCCATCCTGCACCTCAGCTCCTGCACCCCATCTCAGCACCCCTTATCCCATCCCTGCACCCCAAACCCTGCACCCAAACTCCTATCCCTGCGCATCTTGTCCCCTGCTCCCCAACTCCTGCACCCCTTCTCCTGACCCTGCACCCTGATCCCAGCACCATTATGTCCTCCCTGCACCCCAACCCAGACCTTGTCCCCGCACCCCAACCTCAGCACCCCTTATCCCATTCCCTACACCCCTTCTTCAATCCCTGCACCCAACTCCTGTCCCCATCCCTGGCACCCCTTATTCCACCCCTGCACCCCTTCTCCTGTCCCTTCACCCTCCTTTGTCTCCTGTACCCCATCTTCTATCTCTATCCCCATCCCTTGCACCCATCCTGACCCTGCACCCGGACCCCAGCACCCCTTATCCCCTCTGCACCCCATCCCCAGCACCCTAAACGGGGCACCCCTTATCCCACCCCTGCACCCATCCAGTCCCCTCCACCCCAAACCCTGCACCCAATCCCCTCTCCCCTGAGCTCCATCCCTGCATCCTTCTCCTACCCCTGCACCCCCATTCCTGTCCCCATCCTGACCCTGCTCCCCCCCATCCCCTTGTCCCCTCTTCCCAGCCCCCCCCTTATCGTCGTCCCCCTTTATCCCCCTCCATCCCCCCCTTATCCCCCCCATTCCCATCCCGCCCCCGCTGCCCTTTCCCGCACAGTGCCCGGTTGTTCCCGGTTGTTCCCGGTTGTTCCCGGGAGGAGGCGGCTCTGGGGGGGGGGGGTGCCCTGTCCCCATTCCAGAGGTGACAAAAGAGCCTTTTTCCTCCCTATAGCTCCTTGTGTGTGGGGGGGAGGTTTGCCCCAAATCCCATTCCCGACAAGCACTGGATCGTCCCTTGGGAATTGGGGGGTGAATGTGGGATCCAGCCCCCCCCAGACTAAACGGGGGGATCCCGATGGAGGGAGAGGGGAGGGGGCCGCGCTTCCCGATGCGGGAGAAGCTGCAGATCCTGGAGGACCTCAACATGCTTTATATCCGGCAGATGGCCATGAGCCTCCAGGTAGGAATTCCCCCCCCCTTTATCCCTCATCCCACTTTCAGGACCCCACCAGGATCCCCCTGGACCCCCGGACGTCGGGAAACCCGGGGTCCGGGGGTCCAGAGGGGTCCTGGGGGGTCCCATGGAATGGGTCTTCCCCCCACTGTCTATGGGGAGCATCCCCCCATAGCACATCCCATGGGATGGGGAGGGTTCTGATTCACACACACACACACCCCCGCCCCATAAACTCCTGTTGGTGGGGTATTGGTAACAATTGGTGATGTTACTCTATGGGGGGTGCAGGGGGCATAAGGGGGGTGCAGGAAGAAAGTGGGGTGCGGGGAGCAAAAGGGGGTGCAGACAGGACAAGGGGAGTGTAGGGAGCATAAGGGGGGTGCAGGAAGAAAGTGGGGTGTGGGGAGCAAAAGGGGGTGCAGACAGGACAAGGGGGGTGGAGGGGGCACAAAGGGGGTGGAGGGGGCACAAAGGGGGTGCAGGCAGCACAAGGGGGGCTCAGGCTGGTGCTGGTGGTGAGTTGTGGGGCTGGATAAAGGGAGGGGGGAATTGGGGGGTTTGGGGGCATGTGGTAAATATGTGGGGTGGGGGGTCCCTGTGGGGCACAGGGTGTATCTATGGGGCACGGGACACATCTGTGGTGTTCACGGTGTATCCGTGGGGCATGTTGTTCCGCCGTGGGGTGCATGATGTGTCTGCGGGGCACATGGCTCCTCTGTGGAGTTCTTGTGGGGTGCGTGGCACATCCGTGGGGCGTCTGTGGGGTGCGTGATGTGCCCGTAGGGCACCTGGGTATCTGTGAGGCACATGGTTGCCTCGTGGGGTACACGCCGTATCTGTGGGGCACGTGGTTCCTCTGTGGGGCACAGGAAGCCTCTATGGGGCTCGCAGCACAGCCGTGGGGTGCATGGTTCCCCCGTGGGGTACGTGGTGTCTCTGGGGAGGTGACTCCCCTGTGGGGCATGTGGCACATCAGTGGAGCCGTTGTGTCTCTGTGGGCTGCGTGGCCCATCCATGGGGCACCCGGTGTCCCCATCCCAGTGTTCCCCATCCATCCCAGTATCCCATCCCGGTGCCCATTCCACTGTCCTGTGCCAGTTCCGCTGCCATCCTTGTCCCCTGCCCTGTCCCATCTCGGTGCCCGCTCTCCCTGTCGCGATGTCCCGCAGGACGTGGATGCGCAGTGGTCCCTGTCCTATCCCCGTCTCTATCCCTCTCTGTCCCATCTCTGTCTCTATCCCTGTCCCACAGGAGGCGGAGGTGCGGTGGTACCCGTCTCTCTCCCGGTCTCTATCCTTGTTTCTCTCTCGGTCTCTAGCCCTCTCCCATCCCTGTCTCTGTCCCTATCTCTATCCCTCTTCCTGTACCTGTTTCTGTCCCTATCCCGGTCTCTATCCCGCAGCATGTGGAGTCGCGGCGGCGGCTGGAACCGGAGCTGCGGCTGCGGGACGGGGCGGTCCCTGCCTCTATCCCCGTCTCTGTCCTGTTCCCGGACTCTCTCCCGGTCTCTGTCCGTCTCTCTGCCATTCCCGGCCTCTGTCCCGCTCTGTCCCGGTCTCTGTCCCGGTCTCTGCCGTTCCCCGTCTCTGTCCCTGTCTCCATCCCGCTCTATCTCGGTCTCTGCCGCTCCCGGTCTCTGCTGCTGTCTCTATCCCATTCCCGGTCTCTCCCGGTTCCAGTTCCGGTCTCTGCCGTTCCCGGTCTCTGTCCCTGTCTCCATCCCGCTCTGTCCCGGTCCCTCTCCCGGTCTCTGCTGCTCCCGGTCTCCGTCCTTATCTCCGTCCCGCTCTATCGCGGTCTCTCTCCCGGTGTCTGTCCATCTCTCTGCCATTCCCGGTCTCTGTCTCTGTCTCCGTCCCGCTCTCTCCCGGTCTCTCTCCCGGTCTCTGCCGCTCCCGGTCTCTGTCGCTGTCTCTATCCCGTTCCCGGTCTCTGTCCCTGTCTCTGCCCCAGTCCCGGTCTCTGTCCCTGTCTCCGCCCCACTCCCGGTCCCAATCCCGGTCTCTGTCGCTGTCTCTATCCCGTTCCCGGTCCCATTCCCGGTCTCTCCCGGTCCCAGGTCCCGGTCTCTGTCGCTGTCTCTATCCCATTCCCGGTCTCTGTCCCTGTCTCTGCCCCAGTCCCGGTCTCTGTCCCTGTCTCCGCCCCACTCCCGGTCCCAATCCCGGTCTCTGTCGCTGTCTCTATCCCACTCCCGGTCTCTCCCGGTCCCAATCCCTGTCTCTGTCCCTGTCCCATTCCGGGTCTCTCCCGGTCCCATTCCCGGTCTCTGTCCCTGTCTCCGCCCCACTCCCGGTCCCATTCCGGGTCTCTCCCGGTCCCATTCCCGGTCTCTGTCCCTGTCTCCGCCCCACTCCCGGTCCCATTCCCGGTCTCTGTCGCTGTCTCTGTCCCACTCCCGGTCCCATTCCCGGTCTCTGTCCCTGCCCCACTCCCGGTCCCAATCCCTGTCTCTGTCCCTGTCCCATTCCCGGTCTCTCCCGGTCCCATTCCCGGTCTCTGCCGCTGTCTCTGCCCCACTCCCGGTCCCAATCCCTGTCTCTGCCGCTGTCTCCCCCCGCTCTCTGCCTCTCTCCCTGGCTCTGTCCCTCAGGACGCGGAGTCGCGGCGGCGCCTGGAGCGGGAGCTGCGGCTTCGGGACGGGGCGCGGCGGCTCCTGGGCGCCTGCAGCCGGCCCGAGCAGGCGCTGGGAGCGGCCAAGAGCCTCCTGCTCAGCTCCAGCCGCGTCCTGGCGCTCAGCGCCGAGCTCCAGCGCAGGAAACAGGCGCAGCTGAGGCCCGCGTGAGGCCCGCGGGATGGGGACGGGACGGGAACGGGATGGGGACAGCGGGAATGGGAATGGATGGGATGGGGACAGCGGGAATGGGGGCAGAGGGAGTGGGAACGGGATGGGGACAGCGGGAATGGGGGCAGAGGGAGTGGGAATGGGATGGGGACAGCGGGAATGGGAAGGGATGGGATGGGGACAGCGGGAACGGGGGCAGAGGGAATGGGATGGGGACAGCGGGAACGGGGGCAGAGGGAGTGGGAATGGGATGGGGACAGCGGGAATGGGAAGGGATGGGATGGGGACAGCGGGAACGGGGGCAGAGGGAGTGGGAACGGGATGGGGACAGCGGGAATGGGGGCAGAGGGAGTGGGAATGGGATGGGGACAGCGGGAATGGGAAGGGATGGGATGGGGACAGCGGGAACGGGGGCAGAGGGAATGGGATGGGGACAGCGGGAACGGGGGCAGAGGGAGTGGGAATGGGATGGGGACAGCGGGAATGGGAAGGGATGGGATGGGGACAGCGGGAACGGGGGCAGAGGGAATGGGATGGGGACAGCGGGAACGGGGGCAGAGGGAATGGGGGCAGAGGGAATGGGATGGGATAGGGACAATGGGAATGGGGGCAGTGGGAGTGGGAACGGGATAGGATGGGGACAGCGGGAATGGGATGGGATGGGGACAGTGGGAATGGGGGCAGAGGGATGGGGTAGAGATATGGCAGGGAATGGCTCCCAGGATGGGGATATGGGGACCAGGATGGGGGGACCAAGATATAGGGGGAAATGGGATAGGGAAACACACAGCGGGATGAAGGGGACAGGAATAATGGGGAAAATGGGATATAAGAGGGACTGAGATGTGGGGAGTGGGATGGAGGGGTACACACTGGGATGGGGGGAACAGGAATAGCGGGGGCAATGGGATATGGAGGGGACCAGGATATGGGCAGGGGGAATGGGATATGGACACACACCCACCAGGATAGAGTGGACAGGAATATGGAGACCAGGATAGGGGGGGCACTGGGATGGGGACACGAGGATGGGGACACTAGGAAGAGGACAAGGACAGGGGGAATAGGGAGGGACACTGGGAAGGGGGGACACTGGGATGGGGACACACACCGGGATAGGAACACCCCATCCCAGCTCCTGCTCTCCCCACAGCCCCTCAGCCACCGGCCCCTCGGATGAGCGCGTCCCGTGCCGCGGCACCGTCTGCCTCTCGGGTACGGGGGATCCCCCCAGGCCCCCATCCCCAAACCGGGGCACTCGGCTCCTGCCCCCTCCTTCTGAGGGTCCCCATTCCTCCCCCTGCATCCTTTTGGGGTCCCCTGCCTGTCCCTTGAGGTCCCCTGCCCCTCTTATCCCACCCCGGGTGTCTCTTGCACCACCCCCCCCCCGCCATGGAGGCTCTGGGGGTCAGAGCCCCCCTCAGCACCCCCATTCCCCCCCCCCCCCCCCCCCCAGACCTGCGCATCCCGCTGATGTGGAAGGACACGGAATACTTCGGGAACAAGGGAGGTGAGTGGGGGGGGGGCAGGGGAGCAGCGCGGCCCCCCCGGCCCCCGCTGAGCCCGGTGCCCCCCCAGAGCTGCACCGCTGCGCCGTGTTCTGCCTCCTGCAGCTGGGGGCCGAGATCCAGGACACCCCCCTGGTGCTGGTGGACCGGACCCTCACCGACATCTGCTTCGAGGGCGCCGTCCTCTTGTGAGTGGGGGGCACGGGGGGGACCCCACACCCATTGACCCCCTCCGATCCACCCCAGGAGTCCCCAGTCCCCCCCGTCCCACCATGAGGGTCCCCAGCACCCCCTGCATCCCCTTAGGGGGCCCCTGCCCTCCCCTTTTCTCTCCCCGGGGGGTTCTATGCCCCCCGTGCCCACCCATGTGGGGTCTGCTCCCCCCTTTATGTCCCCCAGGGGTGCCCTGTTCTCCCTCACCTCCCCTTGGGGGTCCCCTCCCCTCTCCTTTCCCCCCATGGGGGTCCCCAGTCCCCCCTGTCTGACCCTTTGGTGCGTCCCCTGCCCTCTCCTTATATCCCCCCCCAGGGGTCCTCTGCCCCCCCGTCTTCTCCTTAGGGGTCCCTTTCCTCCCCATGGGATCCACTGCCCCTCCTGGGGGTCCCCTGCCCTTCCCTTTCCCAACATGGGGTTCCCCTGACCCTTCCCTTTATCCCCCCCATGGGGTCTGCTGCCTTTCCCCTGCTCAGTCCCCCCTGCTACCCATGGGGGTTCCCTGCCCCCCCAGTGCCCCCCATGCTGTGGCTGGGGGGTGACCTTGGGTGTCCCTGCGTGGTTGGTGGGGCATGATGGGGGTCCCTGGGGATGTCCCTGGGGATGTCCTGGGGGTCTTGGGGGGTCCCTGGGGTCCTTGTGTGTCCCTGGGGGTCACTGGGGTCTCTGTGTGTCCATGCGTCCCTGTGTGTCCATGGGCTCCCTGTGCTCACCGGGCTCCCTGTGTGTCCATGGGGATGTCCATGCGGTCCCTGTGTGTCCATGGGCTCCCTGTGCTCACCGGCTCCCTGTGTGTCTATGGGGATGTCTGTGGGGTCCCTGTGTGTCCATGGGTCCCTGTGCTCACCGGCTCCCTGTGTGTCCATGGGTTCCTGTGTGTCCATGCTGTGTCCATGGGTCCCTGTGTGTCCATGCTGTGTCCATGGCTCCCTGTGTGTCCATGGGTTCCTGTGTGTCCATGGGTCCCAGTGTGTCCATGGGTCCCAGTGTGTCCATGGGTCCCTGTGTGTCCATGCTGTGTCCATGCTGTGTCCATAGGTCCTGGTGTGTCCATGCTGTGTCCATGGGCCCTGTGTGTCCATGCTGTGTCCATGGGTTCCTGTGTGTCCATGGGTCCCGGTGTGTCCATGCTGTGTCCATGGGTTCCTGTGTGTCCATGGGTCCTGGTGTGTCCATGCTGTGTCCATGCTGTGTCCATGGGTCCCTGTGTGTCCATGGTGTGTCCATGGGTTCCTGTGTGTCCATGGGTCCCGGTGTGTCCATGCTGTGTCCATGCTGTGTCCATGGGTCCCTGTGTGTCCATGGGTCCCGGTGTGTCCATGCTGTGTCCATGGGTTCCTGTGTGTCCATGGGTCCCTGTGTGTCCATGGGTCCCTGTGTGTCCATGCTGTGTCCATGGGTCCCGGTGTGTCCATGGGTCCCGGTGTGTCCATGCTGTGTCCATGGGTCCCGGTGTGTCCATGGGTCCCGGTGTGTCCATGCTGTGTCCATGGGTCCCTGTGTGTCCATGGGTCCCGGTGTGTCCATGCTGTGTCCATGGCTCCCTGTGCTCACCGGCTCCCCGTGTCGCTGTTGCCGCAGCCCGGACGCGGGCCCTGACTTCGAGCTGCGCTTGGAGCTGTACGGGGCGGCGCTGGGGGGGTGCCCCCCCCGCAGCCTGGCCACGCGGCTCAGCACCTCCCTGGGCCGCTCGGCCGGGCGCCGCCTGCGCGGGCACTTGGAGGGGGGCGACGGCGACGGGGGCGCGGCCCCGCTACTGCCCCACGGCGCCCCGTGAGTACCTGAGCCCTGGGAGACCCCCCCGGACCGCCCCCACCCCTGTGTGCCCCCTGTGTGCCCCCTGTGCCCCCTGTGTGCCCCCTGTGTGCCCCCTCTGTGCCCCCTGTGTGCCCCTGTGTGCCCCTGTGTGCCCATTGTGTGCCCCTGTGTGCCCATTGTGTGCCCCTGTGTGCCCATTGTGTGCCCCTGTGTGCCCCCTGTGTGCCCCTGTGTGCCCCTGTGTGCCCCTGTGTGCCCCCTGTGTGCCCCTGTGTGCCCATTGTGTGCCCCTGTGTGCCCCCTGTGTGCCCCTGTGTGCCCATTGTGTGCCCCTGTGTGCCCCCTGTGTGCCCCTGTGTGCCCATTGTGTGCCACCTGTGTGCCCCTGTGTGCCCCTGTGTGCCCATTGTGTGCCCATTGTGTGCCCATTGTGTGCCCATTGTGTGCCCCCTGTGTGCCCCCTGTGTGCCCATTGTGTGCCCATTGTGTGCCCATTGTGTGCCCATTGTGTGCCCCTGTGTGCCCCCTGTGTGCCCCTGTGTGCCCCTGTGTGCCCATTGTGTGCCCATTGTGTGCCCCTGTGTGCCCCTGTGTGCCCCCTGTGTGCCCATTGTGTGCCCCTGTGTGCCCATTGTGTGCCCCTGTGTGCCCATTGTGTGCCCATTGTGTGCCCCTGTGTGCCCCTGTGTGCCCATTGTGTGCCCCTGTGTGCCCCTGTGTGCCCCCTGTGTGCCCCTGTGTGCCCATTGTGTGCCCATTGTGTGCCCCTGTGTGCCCCTGTGTGCCCCTGTGTGCCCATTGTGTGCCCATTGTGTGCCCCTGTGTGCCCATTGTGTGCCCCTGTGTGCCCCTGTGTGCCCCCTGTGTGCCCCTGTGTGCCCCCTGTGTGCCCATTGTGTGCCCATTGTGTGCCCCTGTGTGCCCCCTGTGTGCCCCTGTGTGCCCCCTGTGTGCCCATTGTGTGCCCATTGTGTGCCCCTGTGTGCCCCTGTGTGCCCCCTGTGTGCCCCTGTGTGCCCCCTGTGTGCCCCTGTGTGCCCCCTGTGTGCCCCTGTGTGCCCCTGTGTGCCCCCTGTGTGCCCCTGTGTGCCCCTGTGTGCCCATTGTGTGCCCCCTGTGTGCCCCTGTGTGCCCCCTGTGTGCCCCCTGTGTGCCCCCTGTGTGCCCCTGTGTGCCCCCTGTGTGCCCATTGTGTGCCCCCTGTGTGCCCCCTGTGTGCCCATTGTGTGCCCCCTGTGTGCCCCTGTGTGCCCATTGTGTGCCCCTGTGTGCCCCCTGTGTGCCCCCTGTGTGCCCCCTGTGTGCCCCCTGTGTGCCCATTGTGTGCCCCCTGTGTGCCCCTGTGTGCCCATTGTGTGCCCCTGTGTGCCCCCTGTGTGCCCCCTGTGTGCCCCTGTGTGCCCATTGTGTGCCCATTGTGTGCCCCTGTGTGCCCATTGTGTGCCCCTGTGTGCCCCTGTGTGCCCCTGTGTGCCCCCTGTGTGCCCCTGTGTGCCCCCTGTGTGCCCCCTGTGTGCCCCTGTGTGCCCCTGTGTGCCCCCTGTGTGCCCCTGTGTGCCCATTGTGTGCCCCTGTGTGCCCCCTGTGTGCCCATTGTGTGCCCCCTGTGTGCCCCTGTGTGCCCCTGTGTGCCCCTGTGTGCCCCCTGTGTGCCCCTGTGTGCCCATTGTGTGCCCCCTGTGTGCCCCCTGTGTGCCCCCTGTGTGCCCATTGTGTGCCCCTGTGTGCCCCCTGTGTGCCCCCTGTGTGCCCCTGTGTGCCCCCTGTGTGCCCCTGTGTGCCCCTGTGTGCCCCTGTGTGCCCATTGTGTGCCCCCTGTGTGCCCCCTGTGTGCCCCCTGTGTGCCCATTGTGTGCCCCTGTGTGCCCATTGTGTGCCCCTGTGTGCCCCTGTGTGCCCCTGTGTGCCCATTGTGTGCCCCCTGTGTGCCCCCTGTGTGCCCCTGTGTGCCCCCTGTGTGCCCCTGTGTGCCCCTGTGTGCCCCCTGTGTGCCCCTGTGTGCCCCCTGTGTACCCCCTGTGTGCCCATTGTGTGCCCATTGTGTACCCCCTGTGTACCCCCCCGGACCCCCGCATGACCCCTGTGCTCCCCCCGCAGGGGTCCCCGGTTCCAGCTCCTGGCTCACGCGGTGCTGTCCCTGGCCGAGGTGCAGGATGGGTTCCGCACCCACGACCTCAGCATCGCCTCCAACGGTGAGCGCGCGGTGAGGGACAGAGCAGCACAGAGCAGCACTGCACTGCACAGCACTGCATCGCACTGCACTACATAGAACTGCACAGCACTGCACTGCACTACATAGCATAGCACTGCACTGCACAGCACTGCGTCGAACTGAACTGCACAGCACTGCAGAGCACAGCTGCAGAGCACTGCAGAGCACTGCACATCGCAACACTGAACTGCATACACTGCACAGCATTGAACTGCACTGCACAACACTGCACAGCATTGAACTGCACTGTATAGCACTGCGCTGCACAGCACAGCACTGCACAGCACAGCACTGCATAACACAGCACAGAACAGCCCAGCATGGCACAGCACTGCACAGCCCAGCACTGCACAGCCCAGCACTGCACAGCACAGCACAGCACAGCACTGCACAGCCCTGCACAGCCTGGCAGGGCACAGCACAGCACAGCACAGCACTGCACAGCACTGCACAGCCCGGCAGGGCACAGCACAGCACAGCACTACACAGCACAGCACAGCACTGCACAGGCCGGCAGGGCACAGCACAGCACAGCACTGCACAGCACTGCATAGCACAGCGCAGCACTGCATAGCACTGCACAGCCCAGCAGGGCACAGCACTGCACAGCACTGCATAGCACAGCACAGCACTGCATAGCACTGCACAGCCCGGCAGGGCACAGCACAGCACTGCACAGCACAACACAGCACTGCACAGCACTGCACAGCCCGGCAGAGCACAGCACAGCACTGCGCAGCACTGCACAGCACAGCGCAGCACTGCACAGCACTGCACAGCACAGCACAGCACAGCACTGCACAGCACAGCACTGCACAGCACAGCACTGCACAGCACAGCACTGCGCAGCACTGCACAGCACAGCACAGCACAGCACTGCACAGCACAGCACTGCACAGCACAGCACAGCACAGCACAGCATGGCAGGGTGTGACAGGGCAGGGCACAGTGTGGCGCCACCGGTGGGTGCGGGCAGGGTGTCCGTGGGTGCTGGTGGGTCCCGGCGGTTTCCCAGTGTCCGCGTCCCGCTGGGTGCCGATGTCCCCGTGTCCGGTTGTCCCGGAGGGCTTCCCCTTGGGTCCCGGTGGGTGCCGGTGCGCGGTGCCCGTTCCCCGCTAACGCGTGCCCCGCAGAGGACAGCCCGTGCCTGGTCCCGCTCTACGGCAGCGTCTGCTGCCGCCTCACGGCGCAGCCCCGGTGCATGGCCCGGCCCGGGAGCAGCGGTACCCTGCGGCTGGAGGTGAGCGGGGAGCGGCGGGGGGACAGGGACCGGGGTGGGGATGGGGTGCGGTGGGGGGGGGACAGGGATGAGATGGGGATGGGGTGGGAACACGGATGGGGATGGGGACGGGTGGGATGGGGACGGAGGGGGACAGGGGTGAGATGTGGATGGGGTGGGGATGGAGACGGGTGGGATGGGGACAGGGATGAGATGGGGATGGGGTGGGAACACGGATGGGGATGGGGACGGGTGGGATGGGGACGGAGGGGGACAGGGGTGAGATGTGGATGGGGTGGGGATGGGGACGGGGGGGGGGGGGACAGGGATGAGATGGGGATGGGGACGGGTGGGGGGGCGACAGGGATGAGATGAGGATGGGGTGGGAACACGGATGGGGATGGGGACGGGTGGGATGGGGACGCGGGGATACGGATGGGGATGGGAGTTGGGGGTGGGATGGGATCAGGGACAAGAATGGGATGGGGACGGGGGGGGACAGGGGTGAGATGTGGATGGGATGGGGATGGGGACGGGTTGGATGGGGACACGGGGATACGGATGGGGATGGGAGCTGGGGGTGGGATGGGGTCAGGGACAAGAATGGGATGGGGACGGGGGGGGACCTGCGCAGGGGTGAGGTTGAGGATGGGGACCGGAAGGGGATGGGTTTGGGATGGGGACACGGAGGAGGACGCTGGGTTGGTGCCGGTGGCTCCGGGCGGTGGGGACGGAGCCCGGGGGTCCCCGTGGGGAGCAGCAGCGCTGGGAGGACCCCGGTGCCCCCCGGTGCTGAGGGCGCGGGGGCCGCGGCGCAGCCGGGCGGGAGGCGCCTGTTCTGCGTCCTGCAGGGCACGGAGCTGCGCTGCCACCAGCACCCGGGGCAGCCCCAGCGCGGCGCCGAGCCCGAGCTCATCATCGCCGTCAACAAGGTGCGGGCCGGGGGGGCTGGGGGGTTTTTGGGGTGCTTGGGGGTCATTGAGGGGGATGGAGGGTCCCTGGGGTTCCTTGGGATTGCTTTGGGCGTTCGGGGTTTATTGGGGGTCCTTTGGGGTCTCGGGGTCCTTGGGGGTCTCTGGGGGTCCCTGAGGTTCCTTGGCGTCCTTTGGGTTTCCTTGGGAGCTTTAGGAGATATGAAGGTTCCTTGGAGGACTCGGGGGTCCCCGGGGTTCCTTGAGATTCCTTTGGGTGTTTGGGGTTTCTTAAGCGTCCTTTGGGGTCTTGGGGTTCCTTGGAGGTCTCTGGGGGTCCCTGGGTTCCTCCGGGGGTCCCTGGGCTCTTCTGGGGGTCCCTGGGTTCCCCTCCGGGGGTCCCTGGCGCCCCTTTGGTCCCGGTGTCCCTGTTCTGAGGCGGTGCCGCAGGAGACGCGGGTGCGGGCGCTGGAGCGGGGGGCTCAGGGGCTGCCCCTGGCCTTGGCCGTCACCAACCGGCTTGGGGGGGAGGACGTGACCCACACGCTGGTGGCCGAGAGCGCGGCCGAGGCGCAGCGCTGGATGGAGGCCTTCAGCCAGCACTTCTATGACATCAGTGAGCACGGGGGCCCGGGCAGAGCGGGGCCCGTCCCAGCGGGACCCCACTGCTCCCCATTGGGAGCCCTGCGCCAGCAGAGCCCCATCCCGGCACGGCCCTGGCCATGCCTTGACCTCAACACACAGGATCCACATCCCAGAGATATCCCCATCCCATTGAGACCCCATCCCATTGAGACCCCATCCCATTGAGACCCCATCCCATTGAGGTCCCATCCCATTGAGACCCCCATACCAGAGATATCCCCATCCCATTGAGGTCCCATCCCATTGAGACCCCATCCCATTGAGGTCCCATCCCATTGAGACCCCCATACCAGAGATATCCCCATCCCATTGAGGTCCCATCCCACTGAGGTCCCATCCCATTGAGGTCCCATCCCATTGAGACCCCTTCCCATTGAGACCCCATCCCATTGAGACCCCCATACCAGAGATATCCCCATCCCATTGAGATCCCATCCCATTGAGACCCGATCCCATTGAGACCCCCATACCAGAGATATCCCCATCGCATTGAGACCCCATCCCATTGAGACCCCTTCCCATTGAGACCCCTTCCCATTGAGACCCCATCCCATTGAGATCCCATCCTATTGAGACCCCATCCCATTGAGACCCCATCCCATTGAGATCCCATCCCATTGAGACCCGATCCCATTGAGACCCCCATACCAGAGATATCCCCATCGCATTGAGACCCCATCCCATTGAGACCCCTTCCCATTGAGACCCCTTCCCATTGAGACCCCATCCCATTGAGATCCCATCCTATTGAGACCCCATCCCATTGAGACCCCATCCCATTGAGATCCCATCCCATTGAGACCCCATCCCATTGTGATCCCATCCCGTTGAGACTCCATCCCATTGAGACCCCTTCCCATTGAGACCCCATCCCATTGAGATCCCATCCTATTGAGACCCCATCCCATTGAGACCCCATCCCATTGAGGTCCCATCCCATTGAGACCCCCGTCCCAACGTGATCCCACCCCAGTGACACCCCATGGTGTGACCCAGCCCATGCCCCATGGGGCTCTGTTGCGCAGGCTGCTGGCAGCAGTGCTGTGAGGAGCTGATGCGCATCGAGGTGCCGCAGCCGCGCCGGGCACCTGCAGTGCTGCCGCGCCAGGGCTCCCTCTACCATGAGCTGGGTGAGTGCAGGGCAGTGCACCGTAAACTGCCCCAGAGCCTGCCCCATAACCTGCCCCATAACTTGCCCCATGCCCTGCCCCATGCCCTGCTCCATAACCTGCCCCATAACCTGCCCCATAACTTGCCCCATGCCCTGCCCCATGCCCTGCTCCATAACCTGCCCCATAACCTGCCCCATAACTTGCCCCATGCCCTGCCCCATGCCCTGCTCCATAACCTGCCCCATAACCTGCCCCATAACTTGCCCCATGCCCTGCCCCATGCCCTGCTCCATAACCTGCCCCATAACTTGCCCCATGCCCTGCCCCATGCCCTGCTCCATAACCTGCCCCATAACCTGCCCCATAACTTGCCCCATGCCCTGCCCCATGCCCTGCTCCATAACCTGCCCCATGACTTGCCCCATAACCTGCCCCATAACTTGCCCCATAACCTGCCCCATGCCCTGCCCCACGGCTTGTGCATCCCTCTGCCCACCTCCTGCATCCCCCCGTGCCCCACATCATCCCCCCATGCCCTCAGCTCTTGGTGCCCCCCTCCACTGCTGCTGGATAAAGCCGGGGGGGGGATCCGGGCACTGCCCTCCCATTACAGCTGACAGGCAGGGGCTGTGGGGTGACACCACAGCACCCCAGGGGGGCCCGGCCGTGGGGTACAGCCTGGCCCCACAACCCAGGGGCCACGTCCCATCCTGGCTGTCCCAGCCACGGGAGTGTGGCTCCAGAGCACGGCCCGGCTATGGGGCAGGTCCCAGCCACCCACCCCCAGGGCACGGCCCGGCTATGGGGCACGTCCCGTGCCCCCATCTATGGGGCCGCCCCACGGCCCCCCCGGTGCTGCGCTGTGACCGGTGCCTTCCCGCAGCCCTGGACCCATCGGAGGACGCGGTGGCGGCGATGCTGGAGCCCGGGACCCCCCCTTGGCTCTCGCTCTTCGAGGGCCCCCCCCCGAGCTCCCCCCAGCCCCAGCGCGGGGGCAGCCCCGCCCCCCCCCCCCGGCCCCGGCCCCGCAGCCTCTCGCTGGACGCGCGGCTCAGCCCCCCCCAGAGCCGGGTGTGAGCCCCACAGCGGGGGGGGGAGGGGGAGAAACTGGAATCGGAGCCCCCCAGGCGGGGGGGGGAGGGGCTCTAAAGTTGGGGGGGGCCCAAACTGCGGGGGGAGGGGGGGGCCGGGGTCCCCCGGGGTGGGTGCTGCGGGTGCTCCCCCCCATTGCAGGGTGGGTGCTGGGTTCCCCCCATGGTGGGTGCTGCCCCCCCGGTGTACACGGTACAGCTCTGCCCCCCCCCAACCCTTGGGGCTCCCCCCCCGGACCCCAATTCTGACTCCTCCTCGCGAAGCATTAAACTGTATTTAACAGCGGTGGGGCTGGCCTGGGCGCTCGGGCCCCATTGGCAGCAATGGGGGGGGGGGAGGCGCCGGCTCCATCCTGAAGCTGCTTGAAGGGGTGCGGGGGGGGGGCTCGGTGTGCATGGAAGGTGCTGGGGGGGGCCCCCTTCATGGGGGTGCTGGCCCCCCCTTACACAGCGTGCGGGGAGAGCTCCTCTTCCGTGGGGGGGGCGCTGGAGCCCCCCAAGAGCTGCGGGTGGGTCAGGAGCAGGGCAAAGCCTGGGGGGGGCAGAGAGGTTGATGGGGGGCAGAGGGGGGGGGTGGGAAACGGGGGGGTACAGGAGGTTTGGGGGTACCTGGCTTGTCCTTGGTCCGGATGCTGCTGTCGCTGGGCTCATCCCCCTGCAAGATGGGGGGGCCCTGAGGGGTCCCCAGGACCCCCCCCAGCCCCCTCTTGTACCCCAACACCACCCCCATGTCGTGCCCGCCCAGACCCCGGTCCCGAATCCCCCCCGAAAACCACCCTTCAGCCCCGTCACACCCACCCAGCCCCACATCGCCCCTGCCCCACATCTCCCCTTCCCCACATCGCCCCTGCCCCACATCAACCCCTGCCCCACATCGCCCCTGCCCCACATCGCCCCTGCCCCACATCAACCCCTGCCTCACATCAACCCCTGCCTCACATCAACCCCTGCCCCACATCGTCCCTGCCCCACATCGCCCCTGCCCCACATCACCCCCGTACCCTCCCGTGACCCCCCATGGCCGTACCTCCGGCGGGGGAGGGTCCCGCTCCCAGGGGGCTGCCCAGAGCTCCCCCCCGATGCCGTTTTGCCCCGAGTCTCGCCGGGGCGGCTCCGGCCCCACAGGCCCTATGGGGAGGGACAGGCTGGGCCCCGCAGCGCCGCACGGCCCGGGCAGGGCTCGGGGGTCCGGGACCCCCCCCAGCCCCACACTTGGGGGTCCCTGGCACCCACCTGGCTGCGGTCCCGGCGGCAAGTGGGGGGGGCTGGGGCCGCACCGGGGGGGGGCGGGCACTGGGTACCCCCCCCTGGGGCTCAGACCTCCCTCTTCCAGCCCCTCTGGAGACCCCCACGCTGGGGGGCTGGGGAGGGGGCAGGTATCCGGGGGGGGGCTCTCAGCCGGTGGGGGGCTGGGAAGCGGCGGGGACCCTGCGGCTGCCCCTATGGGGCTGGGAGGATTCCCCATGGTGGGACTTGGAGGGTTCCCCCCCTCTATGGGGCTGGTGAGGGTCCCCAGTGCGGCACTTGGGGGGGTCCCTGTTCCTATAGGGCTGATTGGGGTCCCCAGTGTGGCACTTGGGGGGGTCCTTGTCCCTATAGGGCTGGGGGGGGTCCCAGTGGTGGCAGTTGGCGGGGTCCCTGTCCCCACTGTAGGGGTTCCAGAGGTGGCAGCTGGGGGGGTCCCTGTCCCCACGGGGCTGGTGGCATGGGGGGACCCTGCCCTGGCTGGGCTGGGGGGGGGGCCCAAGGAGGCACTTGGGGGGGTCCCTGTCCCTATAGGGCTTACGGGGGTCCCCGGGGTGACACTTTGGGGGATCCCTGTCCCCATGGGACTTGGGGGGGTCCCCGGGGTGGCACCCGGGGGGGTCCCTGTCCCCATGGTGGGGGTCCCAAGGGTGGCACTTGGGGGGCTCCCCGCGGGGTTGCTGGGGGTCCCTGGGGGGCTCCCGGTGCCCGCGGGGGCGGGGGGGGCTTGGGGCCTCCCTCCGGGCTCCCGGGGCTGGGGCGCTGCGGGCTCCGGGCGGCGGAAGATGAAGGCGGTTTCGGTCAGGCTGCGCTGGTACCGCAGGAACGGGCGGCGGGCGCCTGGAGCGGGGCAGAGCAACGGCACCGGTACCGGAACCGGTACAGATCCCCCCGGTACCGGTACAGACCCCCCCGGTACCGGTACAGACCCCCCAGTACCGGTACAGACCCCCCCGGTACCGGTACAGATCCCCCCCGGTACTGGTACAGTTCCCCCCCGGTACTGGTACAGACCCCCCCGGTACCGGTACAGAGCCCCAGACACCAGCACCGGGTACGGACCCCACAAACACCGGCACCGGGCACAGCCCCTGCAGCCACCGGCACCGGGCACCGCGCACTCACCGGGCCGGGGGGGGCCGGCGGGGTCCGGGGCCCCCGCTGTGGATCCCGAGCGCTCCCGTTGCCGGAAGAAATCCCTGGGGTTCTGCGGGCGCTGCGACACCAGGACCGCGGCTTCCTGCGGGCACCGCGGCTGGGACCGGCGGGGGGACATGGGGGGGGCATAGGGGGGGGCTATGGGGCGTTAATGGGGGGGGGGCCGTGAGTGGGGTGTATAGGGGTGTCCATGGGGGGGACATGGGGGGGCATAGGGGGGGGCTATGGGGCGTTAATGGGGGGGACCATGAGTGGGGTGTATAGGGGTGTCCATGGGGGGTCCATGGGGGGGCATAGGGGGGGTCTATGGGGGGTTAATGGGGGGGAGACCGTGAGTGGGGTGTATAGGGGTGTCCATGGGGGGTCCATGGGGGGGTCAAGGGGGCGGGGCTATGGGGGGTTAATGGGGGGGACCATGAGTGGGGTGTATAGGGGTGTCCATGGGGGGTCCAGGGGGGGGTCAAGGGGGGGGGCTATGGGGGGTTAATGGGCGGGACCATGAGTGGGGTGTATAGGGGTGTCCATGGGGGGGACATGGGGTGGGCCATGGGGGTCTCAATGGGGAGGAACATGGGGGGATCAATGGGGGGTCCATGGGGAGGGGCATGGGGGGGCCATGGGGGAGTCCGTGGAGGGGGTACATGGAGGGGGACCATGGGGGGGTTCCATGGGGCAGGACTCACGGCTGCCTTCCCAATGGACTCGCTGCTCCGGCCGCGGTCCCGCATGGCCTCCTCGTGCTCCCGCTGCTGCTGCTCCTGTGGGACGGAGCAGGGATGGGACCCATGGACCCCCATGGACACCGCTATGGCCCCCCCAAGCAGGGCACCCCACTCACCCATCGCTCCTTCTCCTTCCTCCGCTCTTCTGCCTCCAGCAGAGCCTGCGCCTTTCTGCCGGGACAGGGGGGACAGGACGGATATGGGGACATGGGGGTTAAGGGGGACGTGGAGGGGGCATGGGGATAGGGGGGGATGTGGGATACAGGAATATGGGGGACACGGAGATATTGGGAGGCACTGGGGCCGTAAGGGCACGGAGATATGGTGGGCACATGGACATGGGGGGACATGGGAAGGCACGGGGAGCATGGGGTACGGGGGGATATGGGGAGTTTGGGGACATGGGGACATGAGGGACATGGGGGATGTGGGTACATGGGGACATGAGGACACGGGGGGCATGAGGGACACGGGGGATGTGGGTACATGGGGACATGAGGACACGGGGGGCATGAGGGACACGGGGGATGTGGGTACATGGGGACATGAGGACACGGGGGGCATGAGGGACATGGGGGATGTGGGTACATGGGGACATGAGGACACGGGGGGCATGAGGGACACGGGGGATATGGGTACATGGGGACATGAGGACACGGGGGCATGAGGGACATGGGGGATGTGGGTACATGGGGACATGAGGACACGGGGGGCATGAGGGACATGGGGGATGTGGGTACATGGGGACATGAGGACACGGGGGCATGAGGGACACGGGGGATGTGGGTACAGGGGACATGAGGACACGGGGGGCATGAGGGGACATGGGGGATGTGGGTACATGGGGACATGAGGACACGGGGGGCATGAGGGACACGGGGGATATGGGTACATGGGGACATGAGGACACGGGGGGCATGAGGGACATGGGGATGTGGGTACATGGGGACATGAGGACACGGGGGGCATGAGGGACACGGGGATGTGGGTACATGGGGACATGAGGACACGGGGGGCATGAGGGACACGGGGGATGTGGGTACATGGGGGCACGGGGACATGAGCACATCACGGACCCACACGGGAGGGGGCACGCGGGGCCGGGGCAGTTCTGGGGCGCTGGGAGCTGCGGGTGCCGCCATGGAGGGGTCCCCGCTCAGAGCCGCGGGGCCGGGCTCAGGCGGGGCTCGGGGCCCCCCCGCCCCTCACCGCTGCTCCTGGATCTCCCGTTCCTTGTCCTGGCAGCGCCGCTCCCGCTCCGCCGCTTCCCGGCGCTCCTGGAGCCGCCGGAGCCGCTCCCAGCGCTGCTGCTCCTCCAGCGCCCGGCGCCGCTCCTCGTCCCGGCGCTGCTGCTCCTCCCGCTGCGCCGGGACCCCCGCGTCAGAGCCGGGACCCCCGGTCCGGGGATGCCGGGGGATGCTGGGCTCCCCCCTCCCGTGCCCCCCCCTCACCTCCGCCTGTGCCCAGAAGGAATCCCGCTGCGTCCGGCGCAGCTCCAGCGCGGGGTTGGTTTTGCGGTAGTTGGTGCCCTGCGGGGACCGGGACGGGGCTCAGGGACCCCCCAGGACCGCCCCCAGGCCCACAAACCCAGGGGCACCCCAATGGCACCCCATGGGCACAGCACCCTCAGGACCCGCACACAGGAACCCACACCCCCCCCCAAGGACCCCAACCCGGGGACACCCCCAAGGGACCCCTCACCCAGGCACCCCCCCAGGGCCTCAACCGCCAGGACCCCCAACCCAGGGCCCTTCCATTGTGGACCCCCCCGAATTGCTCCCAAATGGCACCCTATGGGCACAGCCCCCCTCCCTCCCTCATCCTCCCCAGGGTCCCCCCTCACCACCAGCTCCTGGGTGTCGGGGGGGGGCACCCTCCTGGTGACGGGGGCCCCGGGGGGCTCCACTTGTGCCAGCGCCCGGCTCAGCCCCTCCCGCGTCACCTCCTCGGGGCGGCGGGCGCTCAGCACCGCGCTGGCCTCCTGGCACCGGGACGGGACCGAGTCACCCCCGTGAGCACCCGCGGCCCCCCCCGCCTCCCTTCCCACCCCCCCCACCCCCCCCCCGGTTCTGGCGCCATTCCCTGGAGTGCTCCAGATGTGGGGCCGGATCCAGATGTGGGGCCGGATCCAGATGCGGGGCCGGATGCAGACCCAGCACCCAGGAGGGGCTCGGGGGCTGGGACATGGGGGCAGGATCCATCCATGGGGGAGGTCAGGACCCATGGGAGGGGGATGTCAGGATCTATGGGGGGATGTCAGGATCCACAGGGGGGCTCAGGACCTGTGGTGGGGGGCAGGATCCTTATGGGGCTGTCAGAATCCATGGCAGGGTCAGGATCCACGGGGAGAGGAGGGGCAGGATCTGGGAGGGGGGGTGGTGCTCAGGACCCATGGGGGGGATCAGGATCCATGGGGGGGGGGGATCAGGATCATGTGGTGGGGGTCAGGACACATGAGAGGGGGCTGTCAGGATCAATGGGGGGATCAGGATCCATGGGGGGGATCAGGATCATGTGGTGGGGGTCAGGACACATGAGAGGGGGCTGTCAGGATCAATGGGGGGATCAGGATCCATGGGGGGGGATCAGGATCATGTGGTGGGGGTCAGGACACATGAGAGGGGGCTGTCAGGATCCATGGGAGGGTCAGGATCATATGGGAGGGCTCAGGGCCTATGGGGGGGTGTCAGGATCAGCCGTGGGGGCCGGGCCCCCCCCTCGCTCACCCGGAAGAAGCCCCTGAGGACCGGCAGATGCCCGGCACACGCTTCCCGTTGGGCTTCCGGCACCTTCTCCCCGACCTGGCACCGGGGACGGGGCGCTGAGGGCGGCGCCGGGGCCACGTCCCCGTCCCCGGTGCCCGGTAGCGGAGGTGGGGGGCGCTCAGAGCCCCCCCAGGCCCGCACTCACCCAGCTGATGAGCACGACGCGGGGGGCGCCGGTGCCGGGCTCCGGGACGCGGCACAGCCCGTACATGATGCTGCCGGCCGAGAACCTCCCGGCCAGTTCATCCGGACCCCCGGCTGCGGCGGGAGGGGGTCAGGGACGGGGGGGGGGCACGGAGGGGGCCCCCCGCACCTCCCTGCACCCCGGGGCTCCCCGTTACCTCCGGAGTCCAGCAGCTTCAGGTCATGGTGCTTCTCGTAGCCAAAGACGGCCCTGGGGGGTTGGAGAGGGTCGGGGGGGGCACCCTGGGGACGGGTCCAGGCCAGTCCCGTGTCGCCCCCTTGTTCCCCCCCCCCCGTGTCCTCCAGTGCCCCCCCCCGTGCCTCTGCCAGGCTGAATTCATGGAAGTGCCGCCGGCAGCATCCGCCCCGGGACAATGGGGCCGCGGGAAGCAGCGGCTCGACCCCCACGGAGCCCCCTGGCCGTGCTGGGGGCATCGTCCTGCCCCTGCTTCGTCTCCTCATGGCCCCCTTACACGGGCATGGGGTGGCCCGCGGTGGGACACGGCACGGCACCGGCAGCGTGTGTGCGGCACGGCAAGGCATGGAACGGCACGGGGCATGGTGGGACATGGAATGACAGGGGGCATGGCAGGGCATGACATGGAATGACATGGGACATGGCAGGGCATGGGACACGGCAGGGCATGGACATGGAATGACATGGGACATGGCAGGGCATGGACATGGGACACAGCAGGGTGGGGACATGGAATGACAGGGGGCATGGCAGGGCATGACATGGAATGACATGGGACACGGCAGGGCATGGGACACGGCAGGGCATGGACATGGAATGACATGGGACACAGCAGGGCATGGACATGGGACACAGCAGGGTGGGGACATGGAATGACAGGGGGCATGGCAGGGCATGGACATGGAATGACATGGGACACGGCAGGGCATGGGACACGGCAGGGCATGGACATGGAATGACATGGGGCATGGCAGGGCATGGGACACAGCAGGGCATGGACATGGAATGACAGGGGACACAGCAGGGCATGGACATGGAATGACATGGGGCATGGCAGGGCATGGGACACGGCAGGGCATGGACATGGAATGACAGGGGACACAGCAGGGCATGGACATGGAATGACATGGGACACAGCAGGGCATGAGACACGGCAGGGCATGGACATGGAATGACATGGGACACGGCAGGGCATGGGGCACGGCAGGGCATGGACATGGAATGACATGGGACACAGCAGGGCATGGGACACGGCAGGGCATGGACATGGAATGACAGGGGACACAGCAGGGCATGGACATGGAATGACATGGGACACAGCAGGGCATGGACATGGAATGACATGGGACACAGCAGGGCATGGGACACGGCAGGGCATGGGACACGGCAGGGCATGGGGCACGGCAGGGCATGGACATGGAATGACATGGGACACGGCAGGGCATGGGACACGGCAGAGCATGGACATGGAATGACAGGGGACACAGCAGGGCATGGACATGGAATGACATGAGACACAGCAGGGCATGGACATGGAATGACATGGGACACAGCAGGGCATGGGACACAGCAGGGCATGGGGCACGGCAGGGCATGGACATGGAATGACATGGGACACAGCAGGGCATGGGACACGGCAGGGCATGGGGCACGGCAGGGCATGGCGTGGCAGAGTGGAACATGGCACGGCGTGGCAAGGCATGAAAGGGCAGGGCAGGACATAGAATGACGGTGCAGGGCAGGACACGGCACGGCACATGAGGATGTGCCCCGGCACGGCAAAGCAGGGCACACAACGGCACGGGGCGAGGCACGGCAGGGCTGAACACGGCCGGGCAGGGCGGGCAGGACCGGGCCGAACACGCCGGGACACGTCAGGCCATGGCGGGCCCCGCCGGCCGCACGCGTCCCCACGGCGGGAGCTCCGGCGCTGCCGGTTCACCCGGTCCCGGCGGTGCTGTCGGGGGGACACCGGCTGCGGGGGGGGAACGGGACGGACGGAGCAGCCCTGGCCCCCCCTGTGCCCCCCCGTGCCGGGCCGTGCCCCGGGCGGCGGCGGCGGCGGGACCGGGCGGAACGGGGCGGGACCGGGCGCGGGTTCCCAGCGTGGCGTGAACTGGGGAAGCTCAGCCCCCGGCCCCGTGGCCCCGCCGGGACCCTGGTGCCAGCCGGACCCCGGCCCGCTGCCGGCGCTCGTTGTGCCTCGGGACGTCCCCATCCGCCGCCCGTCCCGGTGACTGCTCCCGGTGCCCCTTCCCGGTGCCTGCTCCCGGTGCCCACGCCGGGTGCCGGTGCCCGCTCCCGCTGCCGTTGTCCGATCCCAGTGCCCGCCCCCGGTGCCCGCTCCCATTCCCGGTTTCCGGTGCCCGTTCCGCTCTCCCGGTGCCCATTCCCAAAGCTCCGTGTCCGCCTCCGGTGCCCCGCGCCCGTTCCCGGTGCCCGCTCCCTGCCCGGTGCCGGCGCTCACCAGTCGGTGCCGGCGCGGGGGTTCCCCACGTCCTCCCGTGCCGCCAGCAGCGCCAGCCGGTGCCGCTCCAGCCCCGGGGCCGCCATCCCGCGTCCCGCCGCTCCCGGAGCCGCCGCTCCCGCCCGAGCCCGCCCCCGCCGCCCGCGGGAGGGACCGGGCGGGGCGCGGGGGCGGCACCGGGAGCGGCGGGCGCGGGGCGGGGGCCGGCACCAGCGTGAGGGTCCCGCGCTGGGACGAGGCCGCTGTGCAGGGTCCCAGACCAGGCCGTGGGCGCTGGACGCGGGGTCCTGCGCTGGGATGAGAGCCCAGAATCCCACGCTAGGATGCGGGTGTTGAGCCAGGATCCAGCGCTGGGATGTGCGCGCTGTGCAGGGACCCGTGCTGGGATGAGGGTGCTGGACACAGGGTCCCACCCCGGGATGTGGGTGCTGTGCTGGTCCCAGAGGAGCACGTGGGGCTGCAGGCAGGGAGCGAGCCCAGCCTGGGGTGGCCACATGGGTAGGCCCGGGGTGTGGGATGCTCAGACTGACTGCAGGGAGGTCACATCCCATCCCCATCCTACCCTATTCTATCCCATCTCCATCCCATCCTAACCTATCCCATCCCCATCCCTTCCTAACCTATCCCATCTCCATCCCATTTACATCCTATCCTATCCCATCCCATCCCATCTCCATTGCATCCCGTTCTATCCCCACCCTATCTCCATTCACATTCATATCTCTGTCCCATCCCATTACCATCCTATCCCCATCCCCATTCCATTCCCATCCCATCCCGGTCAGGCTCCAGCTCCCGCAGGACCATGCTCGGCCATTCCCTTATTTGGTCACAACGGCGCCAAACCCCAATTCCTGAGGGATGGAAAACATCCGCTACTGGAATGGGGCCATAGAGAGGGGGACGGGCCGGGGACACCCCAGTACAGCCACAGCTCCCATGGCCCCCCCGCAGAGGGACACATCTGCTGCAGCCGCCAGCCCATTGCGGCCACCAGCCCATTGTGGCCACCAGCCCATTGCGGCCACCAGCCCATTGTGGCCACCAGCCCATTGCGGCCACCAGCCTTCTGTGATCCCCCTGCCCAGGGCCTGTGCCCACGCTGCCACCTCCCTGGGCTCTTGGTTTCACTGGTGTCGCTAGTGACGCTGGTACTACCGGTCTCACTGGTCCCACTGGTGTTACTGGTGCACATGCTGGGACACGGGCCAGTGCTGGAGGCTGGTGCTCTTACTGGTGTGACTGGTACAACCCGGAGTGCTCCGATGTGACTGTTTCCACATGTGCGTACTGGTACTGGTGATTCATACCAGTCTGGTCTGCAGGGGGTGAACAGCTACTGGTCTGACTGGCATCACTGGTGCTGCGGGTCTCACTGGTGTCACTTGAGGCACTTGAGACACTGGCCTCACTGGTCTCACTGGTTTTGCTTGTCTCACTGGTGCTACTAGTGTCACTGGTGTCACTGGTGTCCCTGCTGTCACTGTTGTCACTGCTGTCACTGGTGTCACTGGTGTCCCTGCTGTCACTGGTGTCACTGGTGTCCCTGGTGTCGCTGCTGTCACTGGTGTCCCTGGTGTCACTGTTGTCACTGGTGTCCCTGGTGTCCCTGGTGTCGCTGCTGTCACTGTTGTCACTGGTGTCGCTGCTGTCACTGCTGTCACTGGTGTCACTGGTGTCACTGCTGTCACTGGTGTCACTGCTGTCACTGTTGTCACTGTTGTCACTGGTGTCACTGCTGTCACTGGTGTCACTGGTGTCACTGGTGTCACTGCTGTCGCTGCTGTCACTGTTGTCACTGCTGTCACTGTTGTCACTGGTGTCCCTGGTGTCGCTGCTGTCACTGGTGTCACTGGTGTCACTGTTGTCACTGGTGTCCCTGGTGCCACTGGTGTCCCTGGTGTCCCTGGTGTCGCTGCTGTCACTGTTGTCACTGGTGTCGCTGCTGTCACTGCTGTCACTGTTGTCCCTGCTGTCACTGGTGTCACTGGTGTCACTGCTGTCACTGCTGTCACTGGTGTCACTGGTGTCACTGGTGTCGCTGCTGTCACTGTTGTCACTGGTGTCCCTGGTGCCACTGGTGTCCCTGGTGTCCCTGGTGTCACTGCTGTCACTGGTGTCACTGGTGTCACTGGTGTCACTGGTGTCGCTGCTGTCACTGGTGTCACTGGTGTCACTGGTGTCACTGGTGTCACTGGTGTCCCTGCTGTCACTGGTGTCACTGGTGTCCCTGGTGTCGCTGCTGTCACTGGTGTCACTGTTGTCACTGGTGTCACTGGTGTCACTGGTGTCCCTGGTGTCGCTGCTGTCACTATTGTCACTGGTGTCACTGGTGTCACTGGTGTCACTGGTGTCACTGTTGTCACTGGTGTCCCTGGTGCCACTGGTGTCCCTGGTGTCCCTGGTGTCACTGCTGTCACTGTTGTCACTGTTGTCACTGGTGTCACTGTTGTCACTGGTGTCCCTGGTGTCCCTGGTGTCGCTGCTGTCACTGTTGTCACTGGTGTCACTGGTGTCACTGGTGTCACTGTTGTCACTGTTGTCACTGTTGTCACTGGGGTCACTGTTGTCACTGGTGTCCCTGGTGTCCCTGGTGTCGCTGCTGTCACTGTTGTCACTGGTGTCACTGGTGTCACTGGTGTCACTGGTGTCACTGGTGTCACTGTTGTCACTGGTGTCCCTGGTGTCGCTGCTGTCACTGTTGTCACTGGTGTCCCTGGTGTCACTGCTGTCACTGGTGTCACTGGTGCCACTGGTGTCCCTGGTGTCCCTGGTGTCGCTGCTGTCACTGTTGTCACTGGTGTCCCTGGTGTCCCTGGTGTCGCTGCTGTCACTGTTGTCACTGGTGTCACTGCTGTCACTGGTGTCCCTGCTGTCACTGTTGTCACTGGTGTCACTGGTGCCACTGGTGTCCCTGGTGTCCCTGGTGTCGCTGCTGTCACTGTTGTCACTGGTGTCCCTGGTGTCCCTGGTGTCGCTGCTGTCACTGTTGTCACTGGTGTCACTGGTGTCACTGGTGTCACTGTTGTCACTGTTGTCACTGTTATCACTGGTGTCCCTGGTGCCACTGGTGTCCCTGGTGTCACTGGTGTCGCTGCTGTCACTGGTGTCACTGTTGTCACTGTTGTCACTGTTATCACTGGTGTCCCTGGTGCCACTGGTGTCCCTGGTGTCCCTGGTGTCGCTGCTGTCACTGTTGTCACTGTTGTCACTGGTGTCACTGGTGTCGCTGCTGTTACTGTTGTCACTGTTGTCACTGTTGTCACTGTTGTCACTGTTGTAACTGGTGTCACTGGTGTCACTGGTGTCGCTGCTGTCACTGTTGTCACTGTTGTCCCTGGTGTCCCTGGTGCTACTGGTGTCCCTGGTGGCCCTGGTGTCGCTGCTGTCACTGGTGTCGCTGTTGTCCCTGGTGTCCCTGGTGTCACTGTTGTCACTGGTGTCACTGGTGCCACTGGTGTCCCTGGTGTCCCTGGTGTCGCTGCTGTCACTGGTGTCACTGTTGTCCCTGGTGTCCCTGGTGTCACTGCTGTCACTGTTGTCACTGGTGTCACTGGTGTCCCTGGTGTCCCTGGTGTCGCTGCTGTCACTGTTGTCACTGTTGTCACTGGTGTCGCTGGTGTCGCTGCTGTCACTGTTGTCACTGTTGTCACTGGTGTCACTGTTGTCACTGGTGTCACTGGTGTCGCTGCTGTCACTGGTGTCACTGGTGTCCCTGGTGTCCCTGGTGTCACTGCTGTCACTGTTGTCACTGTTGTCACTGCTGTCACTGGTGTCACTGTTGTCACTGTTGTCACTGGTGTCACTGGTGTCCCTGGTGTCACTGGTGTCACTGGTGTCCCTGGTGTCACTGGTGTCACTGGTGTCCCTGGTGCCACTGGTGTCCCTGGTGTCCCTGGTGTCACTGTTGTCACTGTTGTCACTGGTGTCACTGCTGTCCCTGGTGTCACTGTTGTCACTGGTGTCACTGTTGTCACTGTTGTCACTGTTGTCACTGTTGTCACTGGTGTCACTGCTGTCCCTGCTGTCACTGCTGTCACTGGTGTCACTGGTGTCACTGCTGTCACTGGTGTCACTGCTGTCACTGGTGCCACTGGTGTCCCTGGTGTCCCTGCTGTCACTGTTGTCACTGTTGTCACTGTTGTCACTGGTGTCACTGGTGTCACTGGTGTCCCTGGTGTCCCTGGTGTCCCTGGTGTCACTGCTGTCCCTGCTGTCCCTGCTGTCACTGCTGTCCCTGGTGTCACTGGTGTCACTGCTGTCACTGCTGTCCCTGGTGTCACTGCTGTCACTGCTGTCACTGGTGTCCCTGCTGTCACTGGTGTCACTGCTGTCACTGGTGTCACTGTTGTCACTGTTGTCACTGTTGTCCCTGGTGTCCCTGCTGTCCCTGCTGTCACTGGTGTCACTGGTGTCACTTTTGTCCCTGGTGTCCCTGCTGTCACTGGTGTCACTGGTGTCACTGGTGTCACTGGTGTCACTGGTGTCACTGTTGTCCCTGGTGTCCCTGCTGTCACTGGTGTCGCTGCTGTCACTGGTGTCACTGGTGTCACTGGTGTCACTGCTGTCACTGGTGTCACTGGTGTCCCTGGTGTCCCTGCTGTCACTGGTGTCGCTGCTGTCACTGGTGTCACTGGTGTCACTGGTGTCACTGGTGTCACTGTTGTCCCTGGTGTCCCTGCTGTCACTGGTGTCGCTGCTGTCACTGGTGTCACTGGTGTCACTGGTGTCACTGCTGTCACTGGTGTCACTGGTGTCCCTGGTGTCCCTGCTGTCACTGGTGTCGCTGCTGTCACTGGTGTCACTGGTGTCACTGGTGTCGCTGCTGTCACTGGTGTCACTGTTGTCACTGTTGTCACTGCTGTCACTGCTGTCACTGGTGTCCCTGGTGCCACTGGTGTCACTGTTGTCCCTGGTGTCACTGTTGTCACTGTTGTCACTGTTGTCACTGGTGTCACTGTTGTCCCTGGTGTCCCTGCTGTCACTGGTGTCCCTGGTGTCCCTGGTGTCACTGGTGTCACTGCTGTCACTGGTGTCACTGGTGTCACTGTTGTCACTGGTGTCCCTGCTGTCACTGGTGTCCCTGGTGTCCCTGGTGTCACTGCTGTCACTGCTGTCACTGGTGTCACTGCTGTCACTGCTGTCACTGGTGTCACTGCTGTCACTGGTGTCCCTGGTGTCACTGCTGTCACTGGTGTCACTGGTGTCACTGGTGTCACTGCTGTCACTGTTGTCACTGCTGTCACTGGTGTCCCTGGTGTCACTGTTGTCACTGGTGTCCCTGGTGTCACTGGTGTCACTGCTGTCCCTGGTGTCACTGGTGTCACTGTTGTCCCTGGTGTCCCTGGTGTCACTGTTGTCACTGTTGTCACTGGTGTCACTGCTGTCCCTGCTGTCACTGGTGTCCCTGGTTTCCCTGGTGTCACTGGTGTCACTGTTGTCACTGGTGTCACTGCTGTCACTGCTGTCACTGGTGTCACTGTTGTCACTGGTGTCACTGCTGTCACTGCTGTCACTGGTGTCACTGCTGTCACCGGCCGTCCCCGCCATTACCCACCGGTTGGCGGGGCGAGCTGGGGGGGGGTGTGTGTGACCATTAAGCCCCGCCCCTGCACGGCGGGGGGGCGTGGCCTCCGCCCTCGGTGGGGGGGCGGTCACTTGTGCTGGGCGCCCCCTGGCGGCGCTCCTTTGTCCGCGCGGCGGCCGGGGCCGGGCTGGGGGGGGGGGGGACGGGGACGGAGCGGTGTGGGCGTGGCGAGGCGGGGCGGGCCGGGCTGCGATTGGCGGAGCCCGAGGGGCGGGGCCCGAGGGGCGTGGCGCGGCAGCAGAGCGGGCGCTGATTGGCCGCTGGGCGGGGCGGGGCGGGGCGGGCGCGGTAGCGGGCCCGGGCGGTGGCGGGGCCGGGTCCGGTCCGGGGAAAGGGGGGGGGGGGTCCGGGTTCGGCGCTGAGCGCGGCCGGGGCCGAGCGGGGCCGGGCCCGGGGCCCCCGCGGCGCACATGGACCTGGACGTGGACTACGAGCGGCCGAACGTCGAGACCATCAAGTGCGTGGTGGTCGGGGACAACGCGGTGGGCAAGACGCGGCTCATCTGCGCCCGCGCCTGCAACGCCACGCTCAGCCAGTACCAGCTGCTGGCCACGCACGTCCCCACCGTGTGGGCCATCGACCAGTACCGCGTCTGCCAGGAGGTGCGCGGCGGGGACCACGCGGCCGGGGGGGGGACACGGGCGGACGGACGCGGCACCGCGGAGGGGAGGGGGGGGGTCCCGGGGGTGCCGTGACGGGGTCCCCCCGTGCCGCAGGTGCTGGAGCGCTCCCGGGATGTGGTGGACGAGGTCAGCGTCTCCCTGCGGCTCTGGGACACCTTCGGGGACCACCACAAGGATCGGCGCTTCGCCTACGGCAGGTGGGAGCCAAGGCGTCCCCCCCCCACCAGCCCCCTGAGCCCCAGCGCACCCTGACCCCCCCCTCCCAGCACCCCGAACCCCCACCTGCACCCAGCCCCTCAGCCCTCCCCACCCAGCGCGATCACAGGGACCCAAAGGGGCCTCCTCGTGCCCCTTCCAGCACCCCAAGAGCCCCCTTGCGCCCCCCCCCAAACCCTCGGGAGGGCTCCGGCAGCGCTGCCCCATCCGGAGGCAGCTCCCTGCACCCCGGGGGCGCCGTGACCCCGCTCTGTTCGTCCCCGTAGGGCCCGGGGGCGCTGGGGGCAGACTGGGGGTGCTGGGACCTCACCCCCCCCCCCCCCCCGCTCCGGCACGTCCAGGCCGTTATCGCCGGTGGCACCGGGGCCAGCGCGGCTCTTCCCTGCCCCAGCACCGCGGGGGGGCGCGGGGCTGCCCCCGCCGAGGGTCCCTCGGCTCCGGGCCGGTGGCGCCGGTCCCGGTGCTGGCGGGGGGCCCGCGGTGGCGCTATCTTGGTCCGTGACACGGGCCCCGCTCCAGAGGCGCCTCCCGGTCACGTCTTGGCAAGGCGCAGACTAAAAACAAGCCCGGTTCGGGCCCACGTGGCTGCTCCCGGACACCTTATAAGGGCCCCCGGGGGCTGCGGGGACCCGCGGCCGGTGGCACCTCGGGCGCGTCCGCTGTCACCTTGCCCGGGGAGGCTCCCCCGAGCCCCGGGACGCGCCAGCACCGGGCTGGGACCTGGAGCCCGTGGGGCGCCGGGAAGGGGCTCGGGGCACTGGGGCAGGGACGGTGCCGGGGCCTGGCCGCTCCCTGTGGGCCCATCCGGGGGGGGCTGGGGTCGGAGTGGGTCCTGTGCTGTCACGGAGCTGGGGCGGACATTGGCTTGGCCAACCGTGGTGACACAGAGCCGGGCGCCATCATCTTCCTCCCTCCATCCACAGGACATCGTCTGTCCTGGGCATGGCCGTGCGGCTCCGTGAGGGCCATGGGGCAGAGCCCTGTGGGGTACACGGGGGTGGGTCCAATGCTGGGGGCAGCCGGCTCCAGCCGTGGGTGTCCCCGGTCAATGATGGGACCCCAGTGCTGTTCCCTGAGCAAGGTGGGCTGCAGAGGGTGGCCTGGGGATGTTGGGTGACAGCGGGATGCACTGGGGCCAGGCTGCCCTCACCCCCCTCGTCCTCCTTATCCTCCTCTTCCTCCTCGTCCTCCTCATCCTCCTCTTCCTCCTGCTGCTCTCCCACCGCAGGTCGGACGTGGTGGTTCTGTGCTTCTCCCTGGCCAACCCCAACTCCCTGCGGCACGTGAAGACCATGTGGTACCCCGAGATCAAGCACTTCTGCCCGCGGACGCCCATCGTGCTGGTGGGCTGCCAGCTGGACCTGCGCTACGCCGACCTGGAGGCCGTCAACCGGGCCCGGCGTCCCCTGGCCAAGTGAGGCCCCCACCGCGCTGCGCCGAGGGGTGGGATGGGGATGGGGCCCTGTCGGCGGTGACACGGCCCCGCTCTGTGTGCCCCATAGGCCCATCAAGCCCACGGACATCCTGCCCCCGGAGCGCGGGCACGAGGTGGCCAAGGAGCTGGGGGTGCCGTACTACGAGACCAGCGTCGTGGCGCAGTTCGGCATCAAGGACGTCTTCGACAACGCCATCCGCGCCGCGCTCATCTCCCGCCGCCACCTCCAGTTCTGGAAGTCGCACCTGAAGAAGATGCAGCGGCCGCTGCTGCAGGCGCCGTTCCTGCCCCCCAAGCCCCCCCCGCCGGTCATTCAGGTCCCCGAGGCCCCGACCAGCTGCGGTTGGGGCCCCGCCGCGCTCTTCCGCACCCCGCTCTGCGCCGACGTCGTCTTCCAGCTGCAGGGTGGGCAGCGCGTGTTCGCCCACCGCGTCTACCTGGCCACCTCCTGCTCCAAGTTCTACGACCTCTTCACGCTGGAGGGGCCGCAGGGGGGGGCCGAGGAGCCGGCTGCATGCACCCAGAGCCCGGATGGGGACCGGGGGAGCCCGGCTGAGAGCGGCAGCGCCCCGATGCGGGGCTGTCACAGTGATGATGCTCGGCGGCCGGTGGCAGGGGACAGCACGGGGGATGTGGGGGGGACCACAGGGGACAGCAGCGTCCGGGACCTGTCCTCGTGGGGCCGCGGGTTCGTGAGCATGAGCTGGGAGGCGGTGCCGGAGCCGGTGTCGGGGCGGGAGCGCCGCATGGTGCTGGTGCGCATGGAGCCGCGCGTGCAGGCGGAGCCGTTCCGCGCCGTGCTCGAGTACCTGTACACCGGGCGGCTGGACCAGGCCCGCGGCGACCTGCGGCACGTGGCCACCATCGCCGAGCTGCTGGAGGTCTTCGACCTGCGCATGATGGTGGCCAACGTGCTCAACAAGGAGAGCTTCATGAACCAGGAGATCACCAAAGCCTTCCACGTGCGCCGCGCCAACCGCGTCAAGGAGTGCCTGGCCAAGGGCGTCTTCGCAGGTACGGGGGGCCCTGGATGGGGGCATCACCGGGACCCTGCCCTCCCTGCGGGTGGCACGCGGTGACCGGCACGGGCGTGGGGGTACCGGTCCCCATGCTGCGCTCACACCGTCCCTCCGCGGTGCCAGACGTGGTGTTCCGGGTGGACGACGGCGCGGTGCCGGCGCACAAACCGCTGCTCATCGCGGGCTGCGACTGGATGATGGCGATGTTCCGGGGGGCCTTTCGGGAGAGCTACGCCTCTGAGGTGAGGGCACGGGGATGGGGACACCGGGCGGGGGGGTCCTGCGGTCCCGCTGTGCCCATGGCGCCGCCGGCCCCAGTGTGTCCCTGCTCCAGAGCCCCCCGCTGTGCCCAGGTCCCGCTGCCCGGCACCAGCTGCGCCTCCCTCCGTGCCGTCCTCGACTTCCTCTACACCGGGGTCTTCACCCCGGCGCCCGACCTGGACGCGATGGAGCTGCTCATCCTGACCGACCGGCTCTGCCTGCCGCGCCTGCAGGCGCTCACCGGTGAGACCCCGCCGGCACCCCCAGGCCCCTCCATGTACCCCCGTTGGGGTCACTCATCCGTGCAGTGGCGGGGACATGGGGATCGATGTCTTCCTCATCAACCAAAGCTGGATGAGCGCGGTTGCCCCGCACCCCCCTGGACACCCATTGACCCCCCCCCAGACCCTCCCTGCCCCCCCCCCGGGCCCCCATTGACGTCACCCATCAATGTGGTGACGGTGGCACAGGGATCGATGCCTCTCACCAACAAGGGCCGCACAAGCGCGGTTGCCCCCAGGCGTGCTGCAGCCACAGCGCCTGCCCCTGCACGTGTCCCCTGCATGTCCATCCCCCCCATCACTGTCCCCCCATCCCATCACTGTCCCCCCCCACCCCATCACTGTCCCCCCCACCCCATCACTGTCCCCCCCATCCCATCACTGCCTCCCCACCCCATCACTGTCCCCCCCACCCCATCACTGTCCCCCCCATCCCATCACTGCCTCCCCCACCCCATCACTGTCCCCCCCACCCCATCACTGTCCCCCCCATCCCATCACTGCCTCCCCCACCCCATCACTGTCCCCCCCACCCCATCACTGTCCCCCCATCCCATCACTGCCTCCCCCACCCCATCACTGTCCCCCCCACCCCATCACTGTCCCCCCATCCCATCACTGCCTCCCCCACCCCATCACTGCCTCCCCCACCCCATCACTGTCCCCCCATCCCATCACTGTCCCACCACCCCATCACTGTCCCACCATCCCATCACTGTCCCCCCATTCCATCACTGTCCCCCCCCATCCCATCACTGTCCCACCACCCCATCACTGTCCCCCCATCCCATCACTGTCCCCCCATCCCATCACTGTCCCACCACCCCATCACTGTCCCCCCATTCCATCACTGTCCCCCCCCATCCCATCACTGTCCCACCACCCCATCACTGTCCCCCCATCCCATCACTGTCCCCCCCCATCCCATCACTGCCTCCCCCACCCCATCACTGTCCCCCCCACCCCATCACTGTCCCCCCCATCCCATCACTGCCTCCCCCACCCCATCACTGTCCCCCCCACCCCATCACTGTCCCCCCCACCCCATCACTGTCCCCCCATCCCATCACTGTCCCCCCATCCCATCACTGCCTCCCCCACCCCATCACTGTCCCCCCATCCCATCACTGTTCCCCCATTCCATCACTGTCCCCCCCCACCCCATCACTGTCCCCCCATCACTGTTCCCCCCACCCCATCACTGTCCCCCCCCATCACTGTTCCCCCATCACTGTCCCCCCCACCCCATCACTGTCCCCCCATCACTGTCCCCCCATCACTGTTCCCCCACACCCCATCATTGTCCCCCCCATCGCTGTCCCCCCCATCACTGTCCCCCCCCACCCCATCGCTGTCCCCCCCACCCCATCACTGTCTCCCCCCATCCCATCACTGTCCCCCCCATTGCTGTCCCCCCCATCCCATTGCTGTCCCCCCCACCCCATCACTGTCCCCCCCATCACTGTCTCCCCCCATCCCATCACTGTCCCCCCCATTGCTGTCCCCCACACCCCATCACTGTCCCCCCCATTGCTGTCCCCCCCATCCCATTGCTGTCCCCCTCAATTGCTGTCCCCCACACCCCATCACTGTCCCCCCGATTGCTGTCCCCCCCATCCCATTGCTGTCCCCCCCATCCCACTGCTGTCCCCCCCACCCCATCACTGTCCCCCCCCAGAGCAGTACGCAGTGGACGAGCTGCTGCAGGCGTTCATGCAGCGGGTGGAGATCGATGAGCAGGTCCTGCTCTACCTGGAGCTGACGCAGGTGGGTGCAGGGGAGGGTTGGGGGTGCTCTGGGGGTCACGGAGGTGCTGTGGGGTGCAGGGGGTGCTCTGGGGGTCAGAGGGGTGCTGTGGGCAGTTGAGGGGTGCTGTGGGGTGCAGGGGGTGCTGTGGGGCGCTCTGTGGCACCGGCAGTGCCCCCCGGGCAGGGTGAGACCCTCTCCCCCTCCTGCAGTTCCACAACGCGCAGCAGCTGGCGGCCTGGTGCCGGCACTACATCTGCACCAACTACAACAGCGTGTGCCGCCGCTTCCCCCGGCACATGAAGTTCATGTCCCCAGGTACGCTGCATGCCGGGCCATCCTGTGTCATACAGTGCCATATTGTGCCATACGGTGCCATCCTGTGCCATACAGTGCCATACCGTGCCATAGTGTGCCATATGGTGCCATATTGTGCCATACCGTGCCATATCATGCCATAGTGTGCCATACTGTGCCATATGGTGCCATACAGTGCCATATGGTGCCATACTGTGTCATACCGTGCCATCTTGTGCCATACCGTGCCATATTGTGCCATACAGTGCCATATGGTGCCATACTATGTCATACCATGCCATCTTGTGCCATACCGTGCCATCTTGTGCCATACCGTGCCATACTGTGCCATACCGTGCCATATTGTGCCATATGGTGCTGTATTGTGCCATATGGTGCCATAGTGTGCCATAGTGTGCCATCCTGTGCCATACCATGCCATATTGTGCCATACAGTGCCATCCTGTGCCATACGGTGCCATAGTGTGCCATACTGTGCCATACAGTGCCATATGGTGCCATATTGTGCTGTACGGTGCCATAGTGTGCCATACTGTGCCATAGTGTGCCACACAGTGCCATACCATGCCATATTGTGCCATACAGTGCCATACGGTGCCATACAGTGCCATATGGTGCCATATTGTGCTGTACGGTGCCATAGTGTGCCATACTGTGCCATACCATGCCACACCATGCCGCACTGTGCCATAGAGGGCTGTGCCAGGCCGTGCCCATACCATGCCGTGCTGTGTCATGCCATGCTATGCCACAACAAGTGTTATACCACACTGTGCCATACTGTGCTATGCTGAGCCATGCCATACCCTGCCATGCCATACCACTCTCCTGTCCCATTCCATGTGTTGTGCTATGCTGCTCTGTGCCAAAGCATGTGTTGCCATGCCATACCTCATGCTGTGCCATGCCATAACATGCATTGTGTCATACCATACATCACCCTGTACCATACCTCATCCCGTACCATACCATACATCACCCTGTACCATACCTCATCCCGTACCATACCATACCTCACCCTGTACCATACCATACCCCATCCTGTACCACACTGTACCCATCCCGTACCACACCGTACCCCATCCTGTACCCCACCATGTACCATACCATACCCCATCCTGTACTATACCTTACCTCTCCCCGTACCACCCCGTACCCCATCCTTTGCCATGCAGAGAACCGGGCGCACTTCGAGCGGCACCGCTGGCCGCCCGTGTGGTACCTGAAGGAGGAGGACCTGTACCTGCGCTGCAAGAAGGAGCGCGAGCGCGAGGAGCAGCGGGAGCGCGCGCAGCACCCGCGCCCCAAGTGGTGCTTCTGGCGCCCGCACGTGTCCTGAGGGGGGGCCGGGCCCCCCCGGGCGCTGCCCATCGCTGGTGCTACCTCTGGTGCTGCCCCCTCACCCCCTGCTGCAGGGGCCAAGCTGTGAGCGGGGGGGGGGGGTCTTTGGGTGCTTTGGGGGGGGGGGGGTGGGAGGGCAGGGGCACGGCCTGGGCCCCCCCTTCCTGCTCATCTCGTGCCTTGGCCCCGGCCTCAACTGCACAAACCCTTTGTAGACTTTTGTACACGAGCACCGCGGCTCCGGCCCCCCCCGGGCCCCCCCCCCGGGCCCCGGCACCGCGAGGGGCAGCCCCCGCCTCGCAGCGGCTCTTTTAACCTTTAATAAAGCTTTTTGTAACGGGACCGGCCTCCGGGTCACCCCCCCGGGCTCCGGGTCACCCCCCGGTGCCATCCCCCCCCCGGCCTCCGGGTCACCCCCAGGAGCCATTCCCCCCCCCCGGGCTCCGGGTCACCCCCCCGGGCTCCGGGTCACCCCCCGGTGCCATCCCCCCCCCGGCCTCCGTGTCACCCCACGGTGCCATCCCCCCCCCCAGCCGCAGGAAGGACTGACACGGGGCAGCTTCATTCGGGTGTATTTATCGTAGTGGGGGCACCCAGAGAGGAGTGGGGGGTCCTGACCCATAGCTGGGGGGGAAGAGCACTATGGGGGTGCAGCTCATGGGGGGGGTTGGGGGTACATGGAGTGGGGTGTGTGCCCCATAGCCTCGGGTAGCGTGGGGGGAGCTGGGCCCCCGGCTGCAGCCGCAGCGGGGCAGGAGGGGCCATGTGGGGAGCTCACCCCCCCCCTCCCCAGCCAAGGGCTGCGCTGGCCCCGCGGCACCCCCAGAGCCCCCCCAGGCCCTGGGAGCGGAGCCGGAGGCTGCGCTGGTCCCTGGGGCCACATCGGGTTCCATTGCTGGGACACGGCATTCCCATGGGAAGCGCCCGGGGGGGCAGGAGCAGCCCCTGCGCCCACCGCAGCCCGGCCGGGCAATGGGGTGCAGGGGGAGCCCCGGCGGACGCGGTGGCAGCAGCGGGGCCGGGGCCGGGGCCGGTCCCGGGGGGCGGCAGCGAGCACGGAGCCGCTGCCCCGGTGCAGAGCAGCTGCGGCCCCGCACATGCGGCCGGGGCTGAGCCCTCCCCGCGTCCCCACGGAGCGGAACCGGCTCCTGCTCGCCCCGGGGCAGGGCGGCCCCGCGGAGCTGCACCCACGGGTGGGACGTGGCCGGCGGCGCTCCCGGCCCCCAGCACCGGTTGGGCCGGGCTCGGATCCCGGTGGAACCGGAGCTGGGAAGAGCGGAGCCGGTTCTGCTCCCAGCCCCGCCGCTGCCTCGCCCCCGGAGGGCTGGGGGGTGGGAGGATGATGTGGGGCTGAGCGGCTTGATGTGGGGCTCAGCACTCAGCACCCCAAGCGCGAGCTCCCTGCTCACAGCGAGGGTGGGGTGAGGCTGGGAGCGAGGGAATCGTGGCCCAGTTCCACCTTCACCCGCATTCCCATCATTGGGACCCATGGAGCAGAAGGCGGGGGTCAGAGCCGCCCCCTGCTTACGGAGCCTCAGTGCCGCCGGTCCCGGTGCATCCCGGCTCTCCTGCCCCCCCCCAGGCGCGCTCTAGGCCCGGCTGTAGCGGAAGATCTCGCTCAGGTCGTAGCCGGTGACGGCGAAGGAGTTTCCCTCGGGATCGCAGAAGCGGGCGCCGCAGACCTGGGTGTCGGGAACGCGCTCGGCGTGACAGTGCTGGATCTGCGGGACAGGACACGGGAGGGGGCACCGGAGCACCCGGGAACGGCCTGACTGCAGCACGGGAACAGAGGCTGGAACGTGAGCCACGGCTTGAGCTCCGCAGTGCGGGAGCAGGAGGATCGTATCCCAGCCTGGTTTGGGTTGAAGGGACCTTAAAGCTCCTCCAGCTCCAACCCCTGCCCCGGACAGGGACCCCTTCCACTGGAGCAGCTTGCTCCAAGCCCCTGCGTCCAACCCGGCCTTGAGCACTGCCAGGGATGGGGCAGCCACAGCTTCTCCATTCAACCCATTCCCATGTTCCACCACCCTCTTTGTATCCCATCCAACCCTTCCCTATTCCAGTTGGAAGCCATTACACCTGATCTCATCCCTCTATCCCTTGTCCCAAGCCCCTCTCCAGGTTTCTCATGGCCCCTTCAGGCACTGGAGCTGCTCTCAGGTCTCCCCTTCACGCAGCAGAGGGGCAGGATCCCCTCCCTGAGCTGCTGCTCACACTCTGGGGTGCGCCCAGCACACAGGGGTTCTCCTCACCCAACTCACCTCAACATCATCGGTGTCCGGGTTCCTGCTGAGCTTCCAGACGTGAACAAAGGAATCCTCCGCACCCGAGAGCAGCTGCAGAGGGAAGAGGACAGAGGCTGTGGGGACCGGTGGTCCGGGGGGGGCACTGAGATGGCAGTGCCAGGGAGCAGCCCCTGCATGGCCACTGCAGGCTGCATGCTTTGGGATGGTGGGATGCAGGCGGGATGCAGGTGGGATGCAGGTCAGGATGCAGGCGGGATGCTGGTGGGATGCAGGCAGGATGTAGGTCAGGATGCAGTGTAGGATTCAGGGTGGGATGCAGATGAGGATACAGTGTGGGATGGAGGGTGGGATACAGATGAGGATGCAGTGTGGGATGGAGGGTGGGATGCAGGGCGGGATGCAGGTGGGATGCAGGGCGGGATGCAGGGCGGGATGCAGATGAGGATGCAGTGTGGGATGCAGGTCAGGATGCAGGGTGGGATGCAGGTCAGGATGCAGGGTGGGATGCAGACAAGGATGCAGGGTGGGATGCAGGTCAGGATGCAGGGTGGGATGCAGACAAGGATGCATGTGGGATGCAGATGAGGATGCAGGGTGGGATGCAGACAAGGATGCAGGGTGGGATGCAGGTCAGGATGGAGGGTGGGATGCAGACAAGGATGCATGTGGGATGCAGACGAGGATGCAGGGTGGGATGCAGACAAGGATGCAGGTGGGATGCAGAGGATGCAGGGTGGGACGCAGACAAGGATGCAGGGTGGGATGCAGATGAGGATGCAGTGTGGGATGCAGGTGGGATGCAGATGAGGATGCAGGTGGGATGCAGACGAGGATGCAGGGTGGGATGCAGATGAGGATGCAGGTGGGATGCAGATGAGGATGCAGTGTGGGATGCAGGTGGGATGCAGATGAGGATGCAGGTGGGATGCAGACGAGGATGCAGGGTGGGATGCAGACAAGGATGCAGGGTGGGATGCAGGTCAGGATGCAGGGTGGGATGCAGACAAGGATGCATGTGGGATGCAGACGAGGATGCAGGGTGGGATGCAGACAAGGATGCAGGGTGGGATGCAGGTCAGGATGGAGGGTGGGATGCAGACAAGGATGCATGTGGGATGCAGACGAGGATGCAGGGTGGGATGCAGACAAGGATGCAGGTGGGATGCAGAGGATGCAGGGTGGGACGCAGACAAGGATGCAGGGTGGGATGCAGATGAGGATGCAGGTGGGATGCAGATGAGGATGCAGTGTAGGATGCAGGTGGGATGCAGATGAGGATGCAGGTGGGATGCAGACGAGGATGCAGGGTGGGATGCAGATGAGGATGCAGTGTGGGATGCATGTGGGATGCAGATGAGGATGCAGGTGGGATGCAGACGAGGATGCAGGGTGGGATGCAGGTGGGATGCAGACAAGGATGCAGGTGGGATGCCGGGACACCCCTGCTCCCAGCTGTACCTTCCCTGTCTCCGGTGCCAGGTCCAGCGCATTGATCCACCGCGCGTGCGCGTTGACCTGTGCGCGCAGCCGCCCGCTCGCCGCCTCGTACAGCCGGATCTGCCCATTCCCGAAGCCAGCGGCCACCGTCCCGTGCCACAGCGCCACGGAGGAGCAGGTACAGCTGGGAACGGGACAGGGTCACCCCTGTCCAGCCCCACGGCTCCCCCCCATCATCGCCCCGGGGCTCACCCACAGGCCGGGACCTTGCTGACCAGCCTGAACTCCTCGCCTGTGCTCCACACACACAGGGTCCCGGCGTCGTCGGCGCTCACCAGGTCTCCAGCGCCGTCCTGCAGGGCAGAGCCGGGTCAGGGTCAGCATCAGCACAAGGTGCTCCCTGCCCCATTGCTGCAGGGCACAGCCAGGCCCAGGGTAGGGTTTAACCGCTCCCCGTTTAACCAGGGAGCAGGGCTGGCACCGGAGCCTCCGCCTGAACACGCTCGCGTTGGGCAACGCCGATGAGGCACGGGCTGGCTTTCGAGGAAGACTCACAGCGTCCCTGCCTGCGCTCCCGCTCCGCACCCGCGCCTCCAGGCACCGGAATTCCCATGCCGGGGCCTGTCCTTGCCCCGTGGGAAGCGTTAACAACGGAGCAAGGGCTGGGAGGGGCGGGCGGATGGAACAGGACCTGGGTCCTGCACGAGGGCAAGGACCGGCCCTGGGTGGGGACAGCCCCAGCACGAAGCCAGGCTGGGGAACACCGGATGGAGCAGCTCTGGGAGCCCTCAGAGCAGCTCCAGTGCCTGAAGGGGCTGCAGGAAACCTGGAGAGGGGCTTGGACCAAGGGCCTGTAGGGCCAGGCCAAGGGGAATGGCTTTAACCTGCCCGAGGGGAGACTGAGCTGAGCTCTTAGGCAGAAGCTCTTCCCTGTGAGGGTGCTGAGGCGCTGGCACAGGGTGCCCAGAGAAGCTGTGGCTGCCCCATCCTTGGCAGTGCTCAAGGCCAGGTCGGAAGTTAAATGGAGCTGTAAGAGGGTGCAAGGACGTGGCCTCGCTGAGGAAGGGGTCAATGATGAGGAACCCAATTGGTGCATCTGAGAGGTGGCAGAAGAGGCTGCCCTGCGGGGAGCTCCGTCCCGGTGCTGGACCACACTTCAACAGCTCTTCCCATGCTCCAGCACTGGGCCTTATGGATCCCAATGGATCCCGGGATCCCCTGAGCCGGCAGCAAGACTGTGAGGGATCAGCTCCCTTGGGCTGAGCCTCACAAGCAGGGGAACAGGGAACCGAGGTGCTTGGGCAGCAGAGCCCAGCTCAGCACCGACGGGGACGGGAACACGGGCACAGCTGTGGGTGGCTGCTCCAGGAGTGGGACCCCTCGTGCGGACACCCACAAACCCAGCGGTGCCGAAGCCCCCCCACCAGAGCCCCCAGGACCTACCGGGGCTTGGCCCTGCTCTGCCGCGATGTCGGTGACGGCGGCTCCGTGCTGCTCCAGGACCTCGCTCAGCGCCACGTTGGTGCCTTTGGGGGGGATGTCAAACACCAGCACCAGCCCCGAGGATGTCCCTGTGGCACCGGGGCGGGGGACACACACACATCACTGCCAGCACCACCCCTCGGCTGCGCCAACAGGCACCACGGGCACCAAACCTCCTCCTGCCCTTCCCTATGGACACCAGGCAACCCTGCATCCTTCCCTATGGACACCCAGCAACCCTGCATCCTTGCCTATGGACACCCAGCAACCCTGCATCCTTCCCTATGGACACCCAGCAACCCTGCATCCTTGCCTATGGACACCCAGCAACCCTGCATCCTTCCCTATGGACACCCAGCAACCCTGCATCCTTCCCTATGGACACCCAGCAACCCTGCATCCTTCCCTATGGACACCCAGCAACACTCCATCCTTCCCTATGGACACCCAGCAGCCCTGCATCCTTCCCTATGGACACCCAGCAACCCTGCATCCTTCCCTATGGACACCCAGCAACCCTGCATCCTTCCCTATGGACACCCAGCAACACTCCATCCTTCCCTATGGACACCCAGCAACCCTGCATCCTTCCCTATGGACACCCAGCAACCCTGCATCCTTCCCTATGGACACCCAGCAACCCTGCATCCTTCCCTATGGACACCCAACCTCCTCCTGTCCTTCCCTATGGCTCCCTCTCTGCCTTCCCTCCCATCCTTCCCTGTGCTCCACTCACCCACGCAGATGAAGCGCTCTCCTGCCGCAGCGATCCCACGGGCAAACACGGCTTGTGCTGCAAGGAAACCGGGAGCCGGTCACACCGGGAGCTGGTTGCACTGGGGGCACTGGGAACCAGTCACACCGGGGGACCAGGAGCCGGTCACAGGGAGCACTGGGAGCTGGTCACACTGGGAACCAGTCACACCAGGGGACCAGGAGCCGGTCACACCGGGGGCACTGGGAGCCAGTCACACCAGGGGCATCAGGAGCCGGTCACAGGGGGCACTGGGAGCTGGTCACACTGGGAACCAGTCACACAGGGGGCACCAGGAGCCAGTCACACTGGGTGCATTTGGAGCCGGTCACACTGGGGCACTGGGAGCCAGTCACAGGGGGCACTGGGAGCTGGTAACACTGGGAGCCGGTCACACCGGGGCACCAGGAGCCGGTCACACAGGGGCACCGGGAGCCAGTCACAGGGGGCACTGGGAGCCGGTCACATCGGGGGCACCGGGAGCCGGTCACAGGGGGCACCGGGAGCCGGTCACAGGGGGCACCGGGAGCCGGTCACAGAGGGCACCGGGAGCCGGTCACAGGGGGCACCGGGAGCCGGTCACAGGGGGCACCGGGAGCCGGTCACAGGGGGCACCGGGAGCCGGTCACAGGGGGCACCGGGAGCCGGTCACAGGGGGCACCGGGAGCCGGTCACAGGGGGCACCGGGAGCCGGTCACAGAGGGCACCGGGAGCCGGTCACAGGGGGCACCGGGAGCCGGTCACAGGGGGCACTGGGAGCTGGTAACACTGGGAGCCGGTCACACCGGGGCACCAGGAGCCGGTCACACAGGGGCACCGGGAGCCAGTCACAGGGGGCACTGGGAGCTGGTCACATCGGGGGCACCGGGAGCCGGTCACAGGGGGCACTGGGAGCTGGTCACATCGGGGGCACCGGGAGCCGGTCACAGGGGGCACTGGGAGCCGGTCACAGGGGGCACTGGGAGCCGGTCACACAGGGACCCCCTGGGTGCATGGAAGGGCTGGGCCCCGCCGTGGCGTTACCAGGAGGCTGCTCCGCGGCGTCCAGCGCGTGCCAGTAAACCAGGACGGAGCCGTCGGCCTCGTACATCTGCAGAGGAACAGGGCCAGGGTGAGGGCGAGAGCTGCGGGGGGGTCACCGGGGCCGGTGTGGTTCCTGCTGCACACAGCGATGGGGACGGGGGGGGGCTGGAGGGAAGGGCCACAAAGGTATCCAAGGGCTGGGCAGTGAGCAAGGAAAGGCTGAGAGAGCTGGGACTGCCCAGCTGGAAAGAGAAGGCTCAGGGAGAGCTGATCCCATGTGCCTGCAGTTAAAGGGCTACAGAGAAGATGAGGACTCCCTTTGGACAAGAAATGCCATGGGAAAGCCGAGGGGTGATGGGCACAAGTTACTGCTGGGGAAATTCCAACTGGACACAAGAGGGAAACCTTTCCCAGTGAGAACAACCAGAGACTGGAATGATCTCCCCAGGAAAAGCGGTGGATTCCTAACGCTGGCACTGTTAACACCGGGCTGCACAGGGTGCTGGGACACCCAGTCCGGTCATGCTGTGCCTGGAAAGGCTGGAACAGGCGATCCCTGAGCTCCCTCCTAAGATGGGATTTTGGATTCTATGATTCCTTTACGGCTTCGGGCCCAACCACTGCCCCAGGAGGTCCCCAAGAGACGGTGACAGCCCCAGACACGCAGCGGGACCCAGGAGGGCCCCAGGAGCCTCCCTCCCTCCCCCCAGCGATCTCATCCTCAGTGGTGTGAGGAATTCCCTCCTCCCCGTCCACGGACACCACCTCACCTGGATCCCCTTCTGGGAAGTCAGCACCAGCAGCACCCGCGAGGGCAGAACGCACCAGGATGCCTGTGGGGACAGGGCTCAGGGGGACAGGGCTCAGGGGGACAGGGCTCAGGGGGACAGGGCTCAGGGGGGACAGGGCTCAGCGGGGACAGGGCTCAGGGGGGACAGGGCTCAGGGGGACAGGGCTCAGGGGGGACAGGGCTCAGGGGGGACAGGGCTCAGTGGGGACAGGGCTCAGGGGGACAGGGCTCAGGGGGACAGGGCTCAGCGGGGACAGGGCTCAGGGGGGACAGGGCTCAGGGGGACAGGGCTCAGGGGGACAGGGCTCAGGGGGACAGGGCTCAGCGGGGACAGGGCTCAGGGGGACAGGGCTCAGTGGGGACAGGGCTCAGCGGGGACAGGGCTCAGGGGGACAGGGCTCAGGGGGACAGGGCTCAGGGGGGACAGGGCTCAGGGGGGACAGGGCTCAGGGGGACAGGGCTCAGCGGGGACAGGGCTCAGCGGGACAGGGCTCAGCGGGGACAGGGCTCAGCGGGGACAGGGCTCAGGGGGACAGGGCTCAGGGGGACAGGGCTCAGCGGGGACAGGGCTCAGGGGGACAGGGCTCAGCGGGGACAGGGCTCAGGGGGGACTGGGCTCAGGGGGACAGGGCTCAGGGGGGACAGGGCTCAGGGGGACAGGGCTCAGGGGGGACAGGGCTCAGCGGGGACAGGGCTCAGGGGGGACAGGGCTCAGGGGGACAGGGCTCAGGGGGGACAGGGCTCAGCGGGAGCCGGGCAGGGGGCACGGGGTGGGGGGCACGGGGAGGTGGAAATAGGGCAGGGGACACAGGGAGGGGGACACAGAGCGGAGGACACGGGGCAGGGGGACACGGGGCAGGGGGCACGGGGCAGGGGGACACGGGGCAGGGGGCACGGAGCGGAGCACGGGGCAGGGGGACACGGGGCAGGGGGCACGGGGCAGGGGGCACGGGGCAGGGGGACACGGGGCAGGGGGCACGGAGCGGAGCACGGGGCAGAGCCCTCCTCCCGTTGCCAGCCCAGCGGTGGCCGCAGACCCCGTACCTGGGTGAGCAGCGCGGCGCTGAGGCCGCTGCCGGGCTCCCGGGCCGGGAGCTGCCGGTGGGAGAGGCCGAGGCCGGCGGCGGCGGCGCTGAGGAGGCTGAGGCTGTGCCCGTGCACGGCGCTGAAGCGCTGGAGCTGCGGCGCGGGCGGGCGGAGCACGCTGAGGTTGTTGTAGAGCGCGGCGCTGCTGCCGGGCAGCGGCAGGCTCTGCTCCCGCCGGTACCTGCAGCGGGCACCGCCAGCTCCGGCCAACGGGCTCCTGCCGAGCCGAGCCGGCCCCGCCGCAGACCGGGCTCCCCCCAACCCCGGGCTCCCCGCTCCCGGCCCGGGCTCTTCCCTGAGAGGCCCCGTTCCCGGTTCCCTCCCGCGCTCCCCGTTCCCGTCCCTACCCCGCATTCCCCACCAGGATCCCCCTTCCTGTACCCGGCCCTGGTCTCTTTCCCCGGTCTCGGCCCCGCTTCCCCGCTCCCGGCCCGGTTCCCATCACCGGTTCCCCACGTCCCCACTCCGCGGTTCCCCGTTACCGGCCACGTTCCCGGCTTCCCCTTCCCCGGGTTCCCCGCTCCCGTTCCTGGCTCCCTACCGGAACCCTCGTTCCGGGTTCCCCTCCGGGGTCCCCCGTTCCTGTATTCCCCGTTCCCGTATTCCCTGTCCCCTTTCCCGGTTCTCCTCCGGGACCCCCCGTTCCCGTATTCCCCGTTCCCGTTCCGGGTTCCCCTCCGGGACTCCCCGTTGCTGTTCCCATAGTCCCTGTCCCCTTTCCCGGTTCCCCTCCGGGACCCCCCGTTCCCGTTCCCGGTTCCCCTCCGGGACCCCCCGTCCCCGTTCCCGTTCCCGTTCCCGTTCCCGTTCCCGTCCCCGCTCACTCGGTGACGGCCGCAGCCATGGAGACGGCGACGCTGCGTGATGAGGCAGAGGGCGGCGCGCCGAGGTGACGTCACCGTAGCGGTGAGCCTGGAGGCGGAGCCAGAGTTACCATGGAAACGGGGACGCGTCCGGCGGCGGGAGGGATGGGAGAGGTGGGAGGGGCCGGGAGTAACGGGGTGCAATGGGGTGCAATGGGGTGCAGTGGGGTACAATGGGGTGCAATGGGGTGCAGTGGGGTGCAATGGGGTACAATGGGGTGTGCTGGGGTACAGTGGGGTGTGCTGGAGTGTACTGGGATGTACTGGGATGTACTGGGGTGTGCTGGGTTGTGCTAGGCCATAGTGGGATGTACCGGGATGCACTGGGATGTACTGGGATGCACCGGGGTGCACCGGGATGCACTGGGATGTACCGGGGTGTACCGGGGTGTACTGGGATGCACCAGGATGTACCGGGATGCACTGGGATGCACCGGGATGCACCGGGATGTACCGGGGTGTACTGGGATGCACCGGGATGCACCAGGATGTACCGGGATGCACTGGGATGCACCGGGATGTACCGGGATGCACCAGGATGTACTGGGATGCACCGGGATGCACTGGGATGCGCTGGGATGGACTGGGATGTACCGGGATGTACCGGGATGCACTGGGATGTACCGGGATGTACCGGGATGGACTGGGATGGACTGGGATGTACCGGGATGTACCGGGATGTACTGGGTACTGGGATGCACTGGGATGTACTGGGATGTACCGGGATGTACTGGGTACTGGGATGTACTGGGATGCACTGGGTTGTACCGGGATGCACTGGGATGCACTGAGATGCACCAGGATGTACCGGGATGCACTGGGATGTACTGGGATGCACCGGGATATACTGGGTACTGGGATGTAGTGGGATGCACTGGGATGTACTGGGATTTACTGGGATGCGCTGGGATGCACTGGGATGTACCGGGATGTACTGGGATGTACTGGGATGCGCTGGGATGCGCTGGGATGCACTGGGATGCGCTGGGATGTACCGGGATGCACTGGGATGCACCGGGATGTACCGGGATGTACTGGGTACTGGGATGCCCTGGGATGCCCTGGGCCCCAGTGGCACTCACTGGGCTGCCCCCTCCGCCCCGTGTCCCCACACCCGCTCTTCCGCCCCCCCCAGAAGGCACCGTCCCGGGAGCGCGCGGCCCCGTCCCGGCCCCGCGGGGACCGGCCCCGGCCGCCGCCCGGCTCCCCCCCCGCGGGCCCGGAGCACGCGGCCCCGTGGCTGCGGCAGGAGCTGGGCAGGCAGCGGGGGGACAGCGCCGTGGGGGGGGTCCTGCGGGACCTGCTGCAGCGCGTCCTGAGCCAGTGCGGCCGCGCCAGGGCCCGGCGGGAGGTGAGAGAGCACCGGAGGGAGCGGGGAGGGCGGCGGGGCTGGGGCAGGGCTGGAGCCCGGGGAAGGGCTAAGGGACCTGGGGGGTTCAGTGTGGAGAAGAGAAGGCTCAGGGGGACCTGATCGCTGCCTACAAGTGCCTGACAGGAGGATGGAGCCAGGAGGGGCTGGGCTCTGCTCCCAAGGAACAAGGGATGGGACAAGAGGAAAGGGCCTCAAGCTGCCCCAGGGCAGGTTTAGATGGAGCTGAGGAACAATTCCTGCCCCAGAGGGTGCTCAGGCATTGGAACAGGCTGCCCAGGGCAGGGCTGCAAGGCACCGGCCCTCCAAGTGTTCACACCTCGTGGAGCCGAGGCCTCAGTGCCATGGGGCAGTGCTGGGGAACAGTGGGACTTGGGCAGCTTAAAGGGCTTTTCCAACCTGGCTGATTCCATGGCTCCATGGTTCTGTGGTTCCCTGGTTTCCTGCATCCATGATTCAATGGTTCCCTGGCTCCCTGGATCCATGGTTCACTGGTTGCATGGCTCCATGATTGTATGGCTCCCTGGTTCCTTGGCTCCATGATCCAATGGTTCCCTGGTTCCTTGGCTCCATGATTCAATGCTTCCCTAGCTCCCTGCCTCCTTGGATCCATGGTTCCCTGGCTCCCTGGTTCCATGTTTCCCTGGTGCCATGGCTGCCTGGTTCCATGTTTCCCTGGTTCCATGGCTCCCTGGTTCCATGTTTCCCTGGTGCCATGGCTCCTTGGTTCCCTGGCTCCCTGGTTCCATGGCTCCCTGGTTCCATGTTTCCCTGGTTCCATGGCTCCCTGGATCCGTGGCTCCCTGGATCCGTGGTTCCCTGGTTCTTTGGCTCCCTGGATCCGTGGTTCCCTGGTTCCTTGGCTCCATGATTCAATGGCTCCCTGGCTCCGGGGGCTCACCACGGTTCTGCCGGCAGCGGGTGCCCTTCACCGTGGGCCACGTGCGGGACGTGCTGCTGCACATGGCCCAGTGGCGCTTCCCGCTGCGGGACGAGGGGACCCTGGATCCCGAGGGAGAGGACGAGGAGCCCCAGCCCTGCACCAGCGACTCCTGGGCGGAGGGCGCCGTGCCCGTGCTGAGCACCCGGTGCTGCCCCGGCGAGGTGAGACACGCGAAGGGCCCCATCCAGGGACCCCCCGGCTGCTCTCGTCCCCCAGACCGAGGGCTCTGCTCCATGGGGCTGCCCGGGGGGTGCTGGGTGCTGCTGGGGGGTTCCTTACCCCACGAGCAGCAGCACCGTCGGCACCCACAGCGCACCCCAGCTCCCCCTCCGCCCCCAGGTCTCTGACCCATGCCCCCCGCTCCAGGCTGGGCAGCAGGACCCCGATGAGGTGGCGGACGCTGGATCCTCCCCGGTGGAGCCCCCGTTCCCCGGTGATGCCTCCGGCGGCAGTGACACCGCGCCGGGGCCGCCCCCGCCGCCGCAGGACGAGGCGGCCTCCGGTCCCCGGTTCTTCGAGGGCAAATCAGCCCGTGCCCAAGCGCCGGTGCCGCGGGCAGCCCCGCTCCGCCCGGCCAGGCCACCCGCGCCACCGGAACCACCGGGGCCGGACCGGCCGCCCCGGCCCTGCGGCGGCGAGGAGGGGAGCGCCGCGCTCAGCGGCCACAAGCCGCGGCTGCCGCCGCTCTCCCGCAGCAGCGTCTTCTCGCTATGGTCAGCGAGGGCTCCGTGCGGCAGCGTCCCGAGGCGGGGCGGCTCCGGCTCCGTGCTGGCGGTCCCGGGGCCGTGTCCCGGCCGGCGGCCCGAGCGCTGGATCCGGCCGCACGTGGAGGTGCTGGAGCCCGGAGCCGGGCGGCGCAGCCGGGGCCCGGTCCCTGCGGCGGGGTCGCAGCCCCAGCCCGCGGCGGCTGAGTCCCGGCCGCCCCCCGGCGCCGCTCCGCGCCCGCTGGGCTCCCTGCTGGACCCGGCCCGGCTGGCGCCCGGCGTCTCCGTGCGCTGGGGCGGCTCCGTGCGGCGCGGGGGGCACGGGGAGCGGGAGCAGGAGCAGGAGGAGCCGGGGGAGCTGAGACCCGTCTGCCCCAGCGAGCCCCCCGCCGTCATCGCGGCCGGGCGGGTGACGGGCGAGCAGTGAGCGCCGTGCTGCAGGCACCCAATAAACCAAAGGCGTTGGTGTCACCCGGCTCCTGCGTCCTGGTGAAGAGCAGCCCCGCGGCCACGGGGATGGCCCGTTTGGTCCCTGCACCCAAAGCCACCGCGGCCGGTGAGGCCGAGCCACCACGGGGCCCTTCGCCGGCTCTGCAGGGCTCCGGCTGCAAAACCGCCGCGGATTTGCCTCTGAAGAGCCACAGTTTGGTGCGGCGCCGGGCAAAGGTCCCCGGCCGGACTCTGCCCTCCCCCGGCCATGGAGGTGCCGAGCGCCTGCCGCCACCCGAGCTGGTTCCTGCTCACGCTGCTCCTGGGGCTGCTGCTCTGGGCGCGGAGGAGACGCGTGTGGGACCCCCGGCAGTGCCCCACGGACCTGAGCGGCAGGACCGTCATTGTCACCGGGGCCAACAGCGGTGAGCTGGGACCGGCGGGGCAGCGGGACGTGCCTGCAGGGCTGGGTTCCCCACGGCCTTGGGACCCTCCTTGCACAGCTGCAGCTGGTGGCAGCGCCCCATTGCCCTGGGATGGGAAGGGGCTGAGGCAAGGGTGATGGCAAGACGGCACCGTGCTGTGGGGGGCACACAGGGTCCCTTTCTCCAGCCGCGGCCCCGCAGCCCTTGCTTGGTGCATGCGGCTGCAGGAGTGGCCGGCGGTGGGTTCCCGGGCACGCACCGGTGCCATGGATGTCCCCTGCACCGCGCTGGCCGCCGGCTGCTGCACAACGGGGACGGGGTCCCGGTGCCCTCAGCCCGGGAGCAGTTCGGTGCGCTCTGGGCAGCGCCTGCCCGGCCTCTGGGGCCAGTTAATGGCTGGTAGCCACGGTCACCGTGCTGCTGGGGCGTGCACGTGCGCACCGGGGATCGGCGCTGGCACAGCCGTGGCAGTGGGACCTGTGGGGAAGGGGGGTCCTCTCACATGCAAGGCACGCGTGGGGTCCCCGTCCATGGCCCTGCCCGGAAGCAGGGAACGGGGCCATGGACCCTGGCCCCCGCTCCACGGGGATGAGCCGGTGCCGGCTCCGTGTGCCGCAGGCATCGGGAAGTGCGTGGCGCTGGAGCTGGCGCGCCGGAACGCCCGCACGATCCTGGCGTGCCGGAGCCGGGAGCGGGGCCGGGCGGCGCTGGAGGAGATCCGGGCGGCCACCGGGAACGCGGCGGTGCTGCTGCGGGAGCTGGACACGGCCTCGCTGGCCTCGGTGCGCGCCTTCGCCCGCGCCGTGCTGCGGGAGGAGCCGCGCCTGGACGTGCTGGTCCACAACGCCGGTGTCACCGGTAAGTGCCGGGGCCGCCCGCGGTGCGCGCCCAGCTCCCGGGCCCCCAGCACCCACCGCAGACGCCCCGTTCCAGGGCTGCCGTTCGCCGTCACCCCCGAGGGGCTGGAGCAAACGTTCGCCACCAACTACCTGGGCCCGTTCCTGCTCACGAACCTGCTGCTGGGTGAGCGCGGGCGCGGCCGGGACCGCGGCGCCTCGGGGACCCCCGCTCAGCGCCTGCCCTGCCCTCCCCGCAGAGCTGCTGAAGGCCTCGGCGCCCGCCCGCGTGGTGACCGTGGCTTCGTTCCGGCACCGCGCCGGCACCGCCGACAGCCGCTTCCTCACCGGGCAGCGCCGGCCCCGCGGCGGAGACGCCGCCTACAGCAGCAGCAAGCTCATGGGCGTGCTCTTCAGCACCGAGCTGGCGCGGCGCCTGCGGGGGACAGGTGGGTGCCGCCAGTGCCATGCAGTGCCGCGCCATGCGGTGCCGTGCAGTGCCGCGCCATGCGGTGCCGTGCGGTGCCATGCAGTGCTGTGCTGTGCCATGCAGTGCCGCGCCATGCGGTGCCGTGCAGTGCCATGCAGTGCTGTGCTGTGCCATGCAGTGCCGCGCCATGCGGTGCCATGCAGTGCTGTGCTGTGCCATGCGGTGCCGTGCCATGCCATGCAGTGCCGCGCCATGCGGTGCCATGCAGTGCTGTGCTGTGCCTTGCGGTGCCGTGCCATGCCATGCAGTGCCGCGCCATGCAGCTCCACTGCCCATCCCAACCACCCTGTGCCGCTGCCCCACGCCGCAGGGGCTGCACATTGGGGTTTTGCCCTTGGAGCCCCTCCTAGGATGTGGCCATGGTGCCAGTGCATGGGGCAGCTAGAGCCAGGCTCGGGGGTGCTGCTCTCACTGGGATGGGCACTGGATGCAGGATCAGGGTGGGAGCAGCGGGAAGGTGCTGTGGCTCCAGGGTGGTGCTGATGCCACGGCTCCACAGGGGTCACCTCCAACGCCGTGAGCCCCGGTGTGGTGAGCACCAACATCATGCACCACTTCAGCTGGGCTGTCCGGGCGCTCTTTGCCCTCATGCGCCCCTTCATGAAGGTGAGTTGGGGGCAGCACGTGCTGGGACTGCCCAGCCCACGGCCCCAGGGGGCAGCCAGGCCCCTCCTGACCCCTGCCCTGGCAGTCGGCGGCACAAGGGGCCCTCAGCACCATTTACTGCGCGGTGTCGGAGGAGGCCGCGGGCATCACGGGCAAGTACTTCAACAGCGACTGCGAGCTGGAGCTGCCCTCGGCTGCCGCCCGCGACGCCCGCCTGGCCCGGGAGCTGTGGGACGAGTCCGAGCGGCTCACAGGGCTCAGCCGCGGCCCCCGGCGCTGACAGCAGTGGCTCTGCACGGGGACACCATGGCTCTGCGCGGCGCTGCACCAGCAGCTCACAGGGGCCACGCAGGCTGCGCGGCACCAAGCGCCATGGAACCAGGCGCTGCACCAGCACACCCCAGAGTGCACCAGGATGCAGCACTGCACCTCCTCCAGCCCCTTCCCAAAAGGAAGAGCAGCCACAGGGCTCCATTGTGCCAAAACAGTCACCGCGATGGTGCCGCCGTCGGCAGCACAGCTCCTTTATTAAAGGCAGGTGCCGCCGGTGCCGCTATTCCCAGGCGATGTCCAGGTCCAGGCGCTGCTTCCTCACGCGCTGCAGGAAGCCGTCGTAGTCGCGCCGGTGGACGTCGCGGCAGCGGCTCAGGTCCATGCGGCGCAGGCGGCTGTGGGAAGCCAGCAGCAAGCGCACGGTGCGGCCAGACACGTGGCTCCCGGCCAGGCTCAGCTCCTGCAGCTCCTGCAGCGGCGGCCCCGGCGCCGCCAGCACCGCCTGGAACACCGGATCCAGTGGGAAGGGGATGGCGAGCAGGCGCAGGCGCTGCAGGCGTGGCGCATGGCGCAGCAGCGAGGTCAGTGCAGGGCTCAGCGTGGTGCCCAGCGCCAGCCCGGAGCCGGTGCCGCCAGCCAGCGTCAAGGAGAAGGTCTGGAGCTGGGGGCAGCCGCGGGGCAGGGGGTCGCTGGCACAGCGTGGTGGCTCCTCATCTGGCTCCCCGCTCTCGGTGCCGGTGTCTGGCGGGAGGTGCAGCTCGGCGCTGAAAGCCTGCAGCCCGGGGCACGCCGCCAGCACAGCCACCAGGGCCAGCCCGTCGTGGCAGCAGAAGCCGTGCAGGGTCAGGCTCTGCAGGCGCGGGCCCAGGCTCTGCAGCACCGGCACCAGCCCCGCCAGCGCCCGGCCCTCGGCACAGCCCAGCGTCAGCTGGGACAGGGAGCCCCAGCGCTGCAGCTCCGCAGTGCCGGTGCCGTCTCTCAACCACACATTGGCCTCCTCGGCCTGCGGACACATGGCCCGGACCACAGCCAGGTCAGGCTCCTCCACATCCTCCACGCGCCGCAGGGGCAGCGTGAGCCGGGCCCCCCCCGGCGTTACCCCCCGCCACCGCGCCGCCTCCTGCAGTGAGGGGAAGCCATCGGCATCCTCCGCACCATCCAGTTCCTGCTCATGCAGGAGGCGGAGGGTGTCCGGCACAGCGCCGTGCGCCAGGAACTCCAGGCACGGCAGTGCCAGCAGCAGGAAGGCCAGCGCCGAGGCCGGGGCCGTGCCGCCATCCCCTGCCAGCTCCAGGCCGCGGGCCAGCAGGACGCGCAGCGCGGGGCAGCCCCGGCGCCGGTGCAGCGGGTCGAAGGCCAGGCAGCGCAGAGCACGGGGGGCCAGGTTCCGGCAGTGCGAGACGTCGAGCTCCCGCAGGGCTCGGCAGCGGCGGCCCAGCGCCGAAAGCACGCGCTCCTCCGCCTGCGTGGCCGCCAGCACCAGGCGCTGCAGCCGCGGCAGCGCCTCCACCACCGCCTCCAGCGCCGCCGGAGAGAGCCGGCTGCAGCCACGCAGGTCCAGAGAGCTCAGGCCCTGCTGCGGCACACGAGGCTGTCAGCGCGGGTCCTCCTCATCACCTCCCATGGGGCACCCTGGGTGGTGGTGCTGGTGGTGGTGGGTACCCATAGCCCCGCTCAACCTGACCCACGGAGGGTGGGAGCCCCTTGTCCTGCCCACCCAGCCCCATGGAGTGTGGGTACCCCCAGCCCCACATAGCACAGACACCCCCAGCCCTGCTCAACCAGCCCCAGACAGCTTTGGCACCCATCACCCCACGTCTGCAGCCCCACACAGTGTGCGCACCCCATTCCCCCAGCCTCACAGAGGTTGCCCCCTGCACCGGGCAGGCCCACCCCGTACCTGGCAGCGCAGGGCGAGTAAGCGGGCGATGCCGTTGCTGGCGAGGCCGGGGCAGGGGCTGAGGCTGAGCTCCCGCAGCTGCGGCAGCAGCAGCAGGTGCAGCGCTGCCCGTGAGAGGCGCCGGCTCTCGGCCAGCACCCGCAGCAGCTCCTGCACCGCGCTTCCGGCTGCGGGGGGACAGCGGGGTCAGAGCGGGATCCCGGCCCCGCTCACCCCTCAGAACCTCCTCACCTGGCCCTGGCACTCACGGAGGTCGTTGAAGGGGCCCATAACGAAGCGGAACTGGAACTCATCCAGGTAATTGTCGCTGTAGTCCCTCACCCAGAGGCTCTGCATGTGCTGCACCAGGCTCTGCAGGCACAGGCTGCCCAGCGCCGGCACCTCCCTGCGCCTTGGCATCGGCCTGCGGGGAGAACGGGCTGGCTGGGTACGGAGCATCGTGTGCCATGGAGCTGCTCTGCTCCGGAGCCAGGCTGAGCGAGCTGGGCTGGGGCAGCCTGGAGAAGAGAAGGCTCTGGAAGGGGAGACCTGAGAGCAGCTCCAGTGCCTAAAGGGGCTGCAGGAAAGCTGGAGAGGGGCTTCTCGAACAGTGTGTAGGGATGGGGTTACTGGAGGAGGGAAGAGCTGGGGGAGATACGAGGAAGTTCTTCACTCTGAGGGAGCTGGGACACTGGAAGGGGTTGAATGGAGAAGCTGTGGCTGCCCCATCCCTGGCAGTGCTCAAGGCCAGGTTGGACACAGGGGCTTGGAGCAAGCTGCTCCAGTGGAAGGGGTCCTGGGGTTGGGACCGGAGGCACTTTAAGCTCCCGTCACCCCAAAGCCCTCCAGCCCGATCAGGAGAGCCCTTTGGGTGCCCCTGAGCTGGTTCCCACAGCCCCACCTCGGCCCCCTCCGCTGCCCGCACGGCCGAGCTGTGACCCCCCCGTGCCCGCTGCGGGCTCCCGGGCGGAGGCGCCGGGGCCGGGCTGTGCCCGGGAGGGGACCATGAGTCACCGGCCACGCGCAGGCGGTGGATGGGACCCGGGGGTGCCGGTGGGAGGGGGGACGCGAACAGCCCCCAGCGGGGGCCCGGAGCCGCGGGGGGCAGCGCGGGGACGGGGAGCGGGACCCGGGGACGGGGAGAGAACCGGGGGGGGGGGGGGGGGGGGCAAACAGGGGTCAGCGCCCCGTGACCCGCGGACACACGGACAGGGGACGCCCCCCCGAGCCCCGGGCACGGCGGGGTCACTGGGATGGACCGGGCCCGGTTCAGCGGGAAGTTCCCGTTCGACACCGCGGAGGAGCCGCCCCCCGCGTACCGGCGGCGTCGGGACCCCCCCGAGGGACGAGACCAAGGACCGGGACCGGAACCGGACTCGGACCCGCCGAGGGCACGGGACCGGGCCGGCGGCACTTACCGGCGGCTCCGCGGCCCGTCCAGGCCCGTCCCGCTTCCTGCCCCGCCGCGCCCCGTGCTGGGGCTTCCGCCTCGCCCTCGGGCCCCACCCGGTGCCCAGGTTCATGCCCCCCCCGGCCCGGCCTCTCACCGCCGCCATTGCGGGCCTCCGCGGCTTCACTGCCCGCCCTGCGCATGCGCGCAGCGGGAGGCCCCTTCCGCCCTTCTTCCCCCGAGGGCTGCCTTTGGCGGTGCCTGACGCCAAGCTCGGCCGACGGCGCGCCCGGGCGGGGCGGCAGCGCGGGGGCAGCCCCGAGGGCCTGCGGGGGCTTCGCCGCGACGGGTTCCGGCTGCGGGAGGCGGCGCTGGGAGCGGCCTGTGGCAGGTACCGGGGGGCCCGTGCCCGGGGGGGGGCTCGGTGTGGGCCCGTGTCCGTGTCCGTGTCCGGTGCGTGGGGACAGGGCCAGGGCAGGGGCGGCGCTGGATGCGGAGCGGTCCCGCCATGGGACTGTGTGAGGGGGGGGGGGACTCCTCCGGTGGGCCCCGTTTTGGGGGGGCTGCCCCCGTGGGGAGGGGCCCGAGGGTTGGTGACGGGGTCCCGGTGCGTGCGGGGCCCCTGCGGGGCAGCAGCCGCCGTGCTCAGGGGGCCGCCATTGGGCTCTGTGCAGACAAAGCCGCTCGCGGCGCGCCCGGCTCGGGTGCTCCCGGTGATTCCCCGAGCTCCTCGGGGCGGTGCTGGAATCCCGGCGGGAATCGGCGCTGGCGTCTGCGGGGCCGGCAGGGGGGCACCTGCACGGAGGGAAGGGAGCGCGGTCACCGGCGCTGCCATGGGGGCTCCTGCGCCCCGCTGGGGGCCTCGGTTGGCGTCCGTCCCCCCCCGGGCTGTGCCGGTGCAGTGTTGGGGTAAGGCAGAGGTGCAGCCGAAATGCGCTTGGAAGCGAAGAGATGGGAGAAGCAGGATTTAGGAAGCACCAGGACCGCACGTGCAGCGGTTGGATGTTGGGTTGGGAATGGTTTGGTCGGGAGAAGGGGGGGACTGACTCGGCCTCTGGATAATTGATGCAGAGATGGGTGTGAATTGATGAGAGGGTGGGGTTGGGTGGGAGATGAGGAGGAATCTTCCCTGTGAGGGTGCTGAGGCGCTGGCACAGGGTGCCCAGAGGAGCTGTGGCTGCCCCATCCCTGGCAGTGCTCAAGGCCAGGTTGGACACAGGGGCTTGGAGCAAGCTGCTCCAGTGGAAGGGGTCCCTGCCCGTGGCAGGGGTTGGGGCTGGAGGAGCTTTAAGGCCCCTTCAACCCCAACCAGGCTGGGATTCCCTGATGCCCGATTTGGATACCTGGTTAATTCACCCCGCTGTGTTGTGGCTGTTGATGGCTGAGAAGCGTGAAGCCGCCTCTTGTCACATCATGGGGATGGGGCAGGGCTCTTCTGAGACCCCCTTGGGGACAGGTGAGGAGCAGAGCAGAGCCCTTGTTACAACCTGGAGCTTCCCAAGCACCCCCTTTGCTCTGGTGTCTGCAGGGGTCAAATGTCCCCGGGCAGTGTAAGGGGCACAACCTGAGCTGGGGCAGCGGCTCTGAGGAGGCTGCACCGACCTTGGGAGCCTCTGCGCATCCCAGACCTCTTCCCATGAAACAAACCCCGGCTCTGCTGGTTCCTGGTGTTGGTATCTCATGGGTGAGCTCCGGCTGTGTCCATCACACACAGCCTCCCTGATGAGCGCAGGGGGGGTTGTGCCTGTTCCCAAGGAGCTTCCCAGTTTGAATGTAGCTCATGGATTGAGTGGAGAAGAGAAGGCTCAGGGGGGACCTGATGGCTCCCTACAAGCGCCTGACAGGAGGATGGAGCCAGGAGGGGCTGGGCTCTGCTCCCAAGGAACAAGGGATGGGACAAGAGGAACCGGCCTCAAGCTGCCCCAGGGCAGGTTTAGATGGAGCTGAGGAACAATTCCTGCCCCAGAGGGTGCTCAGGCATTGGAACAGGCTGCCCAGGGCAGGGCTGCAAGGCACCGGCCCTCCAAGTGTTCCCACCCCGTGGAGGGGAGGCCTCAGTGCCATGGGGCAGAGGTGGCCTTGGCAGTGCTGGGAGCGGTTGGACTGGGTGATCCTGATCTCTCTTCCCACGTGGCTGCTTCTGGGATGGTTTGATGGATGCAGAGGAGCAGGGAGAGCGGTGACAGCGACTGCGGCAGCTCCCGGCAGCACAGGGGATGCGGCTGTGTTTAATGAAGTGGTTTATGGAGCCTGGGACGGCACAGGGCGGGAGTGGGCAAAGGGAGAAGTTCCTGAAGGCAGCCCCCAAGGGGAAGCCGAGGTGGTTGTGTTCCCGCAGCAGTGCCCAGCGGGGGATCCCAGCCCAGGGAGGAAAGGGGTTTGGCTGCGCTAAATCTGGGAGCGTAAACCGGGGTGTTGGGATCAGCTCCTCCCGGGAATGCCCCCATGTGGCTGGGACAGGGCTCGGAAGGGGGGTGTTTGATGGAGATGAGCTCGAGCCGCCCCGCACTGACCTCCTCCAGCATTGCCGGCTCCGGGCCGTTGCCGTGGCTCCGCCGTGGCTCCGGCGTCATTCCCAGCGGGAGCTCCGCGGCACATCCCGGCGAGCGGCGCTGCCCGGTGGCTGCTGCAGCGGCTGCGGCGGAGCCGGTGCTGCAGCCGCGCATGGCGCAGGCTCCGGGCGCTCACCCCGCAGGGTCCTAGCGCCGGGATCAGCCTCTGCGATCTGGGCTGGGGCCAAGCTCAGCATCGCCGTGCCCCGGCCTGGTTGGGGTTGAAGGGAGCTTAAAGCTGGTCCAGCTCCAACCCCTGCCACGGGCAGGGACCCCTTCCACTGGAGCAGCTTGCTCCAAGCCCCTGTGTCCAACCTGGCCTTGAACACTGCCAGGGATGGGGCAGCCACAGCTTCTCTGGGCACCCTGTGCCAGCGCCTCAGCGCCCTCCCAGGGAAGAGCTTTTGCCTCAGAGCTCATCTCAGCCTCCCCTCTGGCAGGTTAAAGCCATCGCAGCTTTCAGGACCAAGTCTGAAGGTTCCTGATGCTTCCTTGGCTCTTTGGTGGTGTTTGTCCATAGGGGCGGGTGTTGCACTGGGGGTCAGGCAGCTCCTGCACAGCCCCATGGGGTGTCCCTGGTTGGGGGGGGGGGGGCGATGGTTCCTCACCCCCCACACGTGGGGATCTCAGCCCTTGGTGCCTCTTTGCAGGTGGTTGGATGAGGATTGTCCCAGCCCCGATGCCCAGAGCACGGCCCGGGCTGTAGCTGAGGCTCCCGGGTGCGCAGAGGTCTCCAGAGCACTCCCAGGTGGATTTGGGCACGCACAGCTCCCACGGTATGTGCTGTTCCTGGGTAAAAGCCACGTGGGGATCGGGTGGGAAGAGGTGGGGCCGTGGGCCTCAGCAATGCTGGCGTTTCCGTGACTTCCAGATGAAATTCAGTGAAGGACATTAAAGCAATGACCTTACTTCAAAGCTCTAAGGTGAAGCAGGCCCTTGGGTGTGTTCTGGGGTCTTGTATCTCCTGGGAGCTTCAGCAGCCTCTGGAAGCACCAGGGCATGGATTCCTCTGGGATGGTCTGGTTGGCGGAGCACTCATCCGGAATGAGTGCTGGAGTTTGGAGGGAAAAGGGGATTTTCATCCATAGCGCAGGTACTAAATGGGAAGTGGTGAATGGTGCTCAAGTGGTGCATCCTGGCGGGTGCTGGTGTTGGATCCTCCAGGACAGGGATTTCCATGTTCATCCACAGACTCCTCGTCAAAGGCTCCTCATGGGATTACAGAGTTCCAGGTTGAAGGGACCCCAAGGATCATCTGCTCCAACTTTTGGGCTGTCTTGTCCTGCCCTTTGGGCTGTCCTTGGGAGAATCTTGTCTAAACCATGGTTTGCTGAGGAATGCCTGGTGTAGATGGAGTGGCCCAGCACATCCTGTTCGTGGGCTCCAGCCGTTGTGTCCTATGGGATTAGGGAATGCCGATGCAGGGGGGTGGAGCTTGTGCGGTTTGTGTCCCTGCTGTGCTCTGGGGCTCCCCAGACACTGGAGCTGAGGCTCTCTGTGTCCTCCATGGGCTGAGCACGGTGTTCCGGCTGCAGAGGGAGGATGGATGAGGAGAGTCTAGTTGATGGCTGGAGCCAGCCTGCATGTTCCTTAATGTCTTAATTCAGCTTTAATTGACCTGAACTTCTCCCCCTTCTCCTTGTGGGTCTTAAAACTGCCACAGACTTGTTCCTCTTGGGTTAACCACAGGATTTGATGTGAAGCATCCCCAGGTTCTGCAGTGCTGGGAGATGGTTGGACTTGGTGCTCTCCATGCTCTGTTCCAGCCTGGTGGATTGCAGGATTCTCATGGCTCTTGGGAAGGGTAACAAGTCCCTGGCTGGGTGGTGGAACCCCAGGTCCCTTGTGCTTCAGGTTGAAAACGGGAGAGCTCTGAGAGGGGAAACCAGCCCCAAGTGCCTCATGTTCTTCTGAATGGGAATGCACCTTGAGCTGTGGTTGGTGGCGCTGGAGGAGGCTCCTCCTGGGGTGTCCCTGGGGTTTCCTGGCTTTGGGGTGTCCTCTTATTCCTATGGCCCTGTGGGAAGAGCCAGCCTTTGACAGGGGGATTTCCCCATTCCCAGCCTGCAGCAGCACCCTCTGCACCTTTTTATCTCCTTGTAGTTCATCCCTTCGCCGTGGTCACTGCCTCAGGGGCTACAACAGGACACACACGCTCACGGAGCTCCGTGGTGTGGCTCTGGGTTTGCTGCCGGACGTGTGCCGGTGTCCGTGGGCACAGCTGGGTGCTGGGTGCCGGTGCCTGCAGCATCCTGGCGTGCCTGGCATCCCCACGTCCCCTCGCCGTTCAGAGGCAGCCGTTTCACTGCAGGCAGCTCGCAGGGTGCTGCTGGCTTCAATCACAGCCATTCACATCGCCGGGGAAGGGACAATCATCGATTGATGGTGTGAAATCCCCGCGTTAACCATGTCAGCCCCGTGCCTCCCGTCGCCTGCACATCCTGACCCGTGCCATGGTGCGGGGGGGGGGGTACGTGCTGGGTACAGCCCCTGTGTCCCGGTGCCCGGTCACCCCGGTTTGT